GATGAGCTCAACTCGTTTGCGGAGCATCGCCGCCCAATTATCGTGTTACGCCCTCAGGCTACAACTCAAGTATTGGTGAGCTCCTTGTCTTGACTGTTACATCTCCCTCGCTCTGACAAAGGAACAGCATAAAGTGGGTATCAAGTACAGCCGTCTCCACTGGGCCTGTGTCGATCAGACACGGTACCTTGACAAGGCGGATCTCCCAACCGATGCCAACACCCTTGTCGATGCTGACAAGCTCATCGACCTCAATTGTGCTTGGCTGGCTGATGATGACTTGGAGACGGTTATCCGTTCCATCCAAGCCAGCCACCAGCGTGGTGGACCTCCTCCGAAGCGCAGGATTACCAAGAAGGACAAGCTTGAGCGGCGGGAGGCAAAGGAAGCGCACCTGGCCCATGGTCAGAGGGATTATTTGATTAACCACAGGAAGGAGATGGCATTCAAGAAGGAGGACAACAAGAAGAACAAATGGGTAAAGCTCAAGGAGAAGAAGCAGAGGAAAATAGACAACAAGATATACAGGGAGTTTGAGTTGGAGAATGGTATGGAGGAGGGTGCAGCTCAGAGCTCTAAATAGCTTTCTTTTCTTATCTTGTTCTGTTCTGATTGAAGTGTCCCTTTGCCCCTTTGTTCACATCTTGTGCTTCGCATTTTAATCACCACTCTTCCAAATGTCTTGGTTTGTCAGTTTAACCCGCCTGCATTCATTTGTAGTCTACAGCCATTTTAATTAAGTCGACCTGCCAGGTGATAATGGTGGAGGGTGAACGGTGGACTTTGAGGACTCCAGTGCTTAATGAAACAGAATCAGGGGTGCTCAAATAGGGGGTAGGAGGAAACCCCAGACCAATCGCATGAGTTTCAGACCCCATCGATGGTCGACGGAGCCAGGCTGCAACCCGACGGAGATCGGTGGAGGGGGAACGGTGGACATTGGGGGGTTCGGTGCTTAACAAAACAGGATCGCGGGTGGTGGAATAGGGGGTAGCAAGATCCCCCGGACCGATCGCATGAGTTTCGGACCCCATCGATGCGCGATCTCTGCCTGCCAGGCCCGGCGGGACGAAATCGCCCGCGGGGGGCCGGGGTGCGAGAATGGCGGGTCGGCGCGTGCCAAGGTATGCCTCAGCGTGCGCGTAGGCCCACCCCCAGATGGTCAGTTAAGCGTGCCGTTGGTAATTCCCGCGAGCATCGCTAGGCCGGCCCAGCGTCCGTTCCATATGGGTAGGTATAGGAGCCGACAACCGCTGCTCGAAAGGTTAGAGTCGGGTTGATGTCAAGTGGTCGGACTAGCTAACCGAGCCTCCACAATGTCTCGAAGCCCTTCAAAATGATGAGTGCTGGCATTATCCATTACCAGGACGGAATTGCTCTGAGGGAACGGGCTCATGTTATCCAATAACATGTCGATGTAGAGCTGGAACTCCTCCACAGTCCATGAGCAGGTCAGGATGTCGAGGTGTAGCACACCGTCGAGGGAAATAGCAGGTAGTATCAAATGTCTGGCAAAGAGACTGAGCATGAATCTACGAGCAAATCAACAATGCACTTTTTACCCCGACCGAAGAAATCCCATCGACGTGCTCTATCACCCTCTGGAGCCCAAGCCATGGTCCTCTTCGTAGTATGCCGATTGCAGATTCATCCAGGAATATGAGCATATCCGGCCGATAATGCTCGCCCACCTCGATTTGATACTGCACCCATCGTTCTTCATCTCGTTCGATTGCAATTCGACTGACCTGCTGATATTAGCGCAAACCAGAGTTATTATTTCGCGATCTCACACACCTTTTTCCGGGTATATCCTTGACGCTTTAGGGATCTTGATATTGTGGTCTCATCCACATCCACGTCGCATCCCTCCCGCAACATCTGGCGTAGTTCTGTCAGGTATAAGTCTGGTGTTCGCTCTACTAGTGCCTTGAGGTACTAAAGTCCATCGTTTAGAATCTCCAAAACAAAGTAGATAGAATTCATCACATACCGACACCTCAGCGCCAAGTAGTTCACAAGGACGGCCGGCTTGTAGAGGACGCCGTACGACTTGCCCCATTGTGCGCCAGAGCTGAATTACTTTCCGTACAGTCTTGAGACTGATTTCTGTACTGTTTGCAATATCTTTTGGTGTCGGAAATTCGGAAACTGCCTTCCAAGGGACCGGCGTTACCACGGCCTGCCAGCCAATGGCAACGACCTTCCCACGCATGTCCCTATATGGCAAGCGAGGGACATGGCTCAGATGGCTATCGTTGCATGGCAAGGCACCCATGGCCAGTACTTTCACTATAGCCACCAGTTTTCTCGCTTTCTTCATCGTTTCTGTCTTGCTCGTTGTCTCCTTGATATTGTATATTACTTATATCACTTATATATTTGTTCCTATGCAGACATGGAACATGGGGAGTGGAAAGTCCTCGACCACTATTACGATATATTATACTAAGTATCAAACTTAGTATCAGCTCTCTGGCAGAGTGGTTATTGCGTCTGTTTACTACATAGGTACCATTGCATTCAATATTTGAACCGGTCCAGGTTCGAATCCTCATGTGCGCACTTTGGAATCCAGCATTCCATTTTTGGTAATGCCATACACGACAGGTATCCCCGTGCTGCCACCCGGCAAGACCGTGGCAATGCCGTTGTAAGGTCCATGGCAAGGTCCATGGCAAGGTTTACTGATGTTTCATAAGGCGGTCCGCCCTTGCCGCATTGGGAAGCCTTGCAAGGCCTCGTAAGGCGATTTGGAAATTTCCGACAGGGGCCATGTGATGAGACATAGTGATAATGAGTTGCTTTTGTTCTTCTGGTATATGTCGCCGGTTGCTCATACTCGCGTCGAGGAAGGATGAAGGCTAAACAACCAGAGCTTGACCAGAGCATTGGGAAAGGTGTCTCATTACTTACCCTTTTTGGTTGGTTTGGTTGTCACGTGCTGCACTGCCTCCATCTCGGGCTCAAGTCCGGAGAGCCCTATCGTTTTGCAGTCAGCTGTAAGACGCCCTGTTGAGACCACGCCTCCCACGTTGACCTTTTGTGGCCAATATGCTCCTGGAACCCGGCCCAGTTCCCCTAAGTGACGACTTTGTCCATCCGAGTCCGACTGCTACACATGCCTACAGCTACTGCCGTCAGATTGAGCAGGAGATACTGCAAGAGCAAGCACAGGCACCCGGGAATAGTTCCCTGGCAATAACCTTGATGAACATTCGTATCGCGGGCCATTTGATCGACGTGCTGGCCCAGCAGCACGAAGACTATGCGTTGGCACGTGTTGTAGCAGACATTGTCGCCGGGGAGAGGACAAAAAGAATTGAGATTGGCGAATACTACAATCAGTATTTTATCAAGAGTTGTAAGCCTGCTTTCTGTGTCCCGTAAATCTTGACGTTGATCTGTGTCACTTAACTCATCATTTCCAGTCCGCGGCAACAGGGGACGGACTCCATCGCCTTCTAAGCACCCCTCAAGGCCACCATTTGACTTTCGTCAGGAAGTGATTAAACGCGAGCTAGAGAGCAGACAGGAAGAGTTTACGTACCCGAAGAATCATCACACCGCCAAGAAATGGGTACGTCCAGACTGTCGTGACGCAATCCAGCCTCTGACCCATATTCATAGGCTCTGGTACGAGACAACTATCGATGTGTTCTTACGAAGAACGTTGAACTTTATAGCGATGCAAGCAAAGCAGATAAGTCGTTGAAACCAGTGAAAACGCAGTGCGCCCACATCTTCCCGGAGTCGACTAACAGAGACTTCTCCGACAACGAAAAGGTCAGACCTTGCGGTAGTTTCTTTCATCCTTCATTAATCTCGACAAATATTCTAGTTGGAATATGCGTCTCGCGTTTGGGCTGTTCTTGAAAGATTTGGCTACCCATCAATCAAAGACCAACTCCTGGGAGATCGCATCCACCTTCTCGACAATGTGCTGACTTTGGACCCAACCATGCACAGTGAGTTTGACGCCCTTCAGATCTGGTTCGAAGCCACGGTACGTCCAACGCAGTCGTATACGTTCACATGCTTTGTAACCAGCTTGGTTCTAGGACGTCCCTAATCAGTACGAAGTCGTATCTCCTCAGGAGGAGCTCTTAAGGCTTCTGCCGAATGAGGTCGTTACTTTCGAAAGTACCAACGAGCGCCTCGCGCTTCCCAACCCGACATATTTGCGCATCCACGCGCTGTGCTGCAGGGTCGCGCACCTGGCAGGCGCTGCCGAGTATTATAATAAATTGGAAAATGATGATGAGTACTGTGAGACCGGCCCCGTCCCTGCCGATGCCCTTGCGGCACGTTTATACGATTTAGCATTTCACAGGGAGGGGTTATTACATTCTCCTTTCTTGTAGGTCAATGCTCCCCTCAATAAGATCAGTCCGTACTTTTCTCTGCGCTGAGGACGGAGACTTTTGTTCGTCACAGGCAATCCGAAGCTGTTAACAATACACAGAGCTAAGGCAACGGTTCCCGACTACTTGAGAGACGATTCAAATGAATATAAACATCTGTCCCGAAGCCGTCCATCGAGATCAACCGTAAGTCGCCGCCGAAGTAGCGAGCATACTGAAGATACATCATTCAGCCACAAACTCGCAAGCGACCGTGCTATCGTACTCACCAGTCTGGAGAGCGGCAATCCATACCCGAAGCCTGCCATGGGCGCCCGGAAATCGCTCGCTTGGAAGTCCGGGTCGAGCTGACCCTCCATAGTTGTGTACATGTACGTCCAAATCAACGGAATGGCACTCCTCGGAATACCTCCACCCTCATCGCTGATCTTGATCGTGATGTCTTCCTTACCCTCGACGACAATCACCTTGATTGGCGGGTAGCTGTCTTCGCGGTCCACGCCAAACCGCTCGACGACGGCACGCAAGGAGTTCTTGAGGAGCTCGAAGACGATGTGTGAAAGATGGCCGGGGACGTAGGCGAAGTGGAGGTCTTTCGGGCAGATGAGTTCCACGGGAGGGCCCTTGAAGAGGCCGTAGTGTTCCTCGCAAACGAAACGCGCGTTCTCGATCGCTTCGCGGACAATGTCATGAACGTTCTGAAAATACGTCAGCGGGCGCTCTACGTATAACAAGGAACCACTCACCGATCTTATACAGATGATACCGACGTAGTCTGGATGCGGTTGATGCGTGTTCAGTGCGATGTCTACGAATCCGCGAACGCGGTCAGGGATATTTGCGATGAAAAGAGAAGCCGCACTCACGTTGTCCAATCAGAAACCGAATGCCGATACGGCTTAGGTAGAACCGGTCCAACCAAGACTGCATGTCATATCCAATGTTCTTGGCATTTTGGCTGCGCTTCCACTCCAAGACACCTTGTGCAACCGTGGTCACGGTGGGGTCGTGCCGCCGCTTGATGGCTTCGAGCGTTTTTGTGAAGCGGTAGTTGTAGTCGCGAACCTCGGGAGGCCACTCTGTGCGCGTCGTACGAGCATAGTACCTGAAAGCCGAGTCAGAATCGCCTCGGGATGAGAAACAGTGGTAACGCACCTGCGCGCCATCGGTACCCTGAGCTTTAACTTGTTTGACACGCCGCCCTCCCCATTCCCGTTACTATGCTGCGAGCCGTACGAATCCCCGAACGCAATATTGGCGCCCTCGTACAAGTCGTCACCGTGATAGGATAGTGAGGGGTTCGGAGTCGATTCTGGAAGGTGCTTGTCGTCGGGCTTTTGATGCAGCGCGCGTCTGAGTTCGGGCGACAGGTTGATGCGAGGGAAGTTAATTAGCTCCTGCAGAGGAACTGTCAGCATGCGAATACAACGGCAGAAAGAACGGAGCCAGAGGGGGTATGTGGACGAACCTCGAACGACTGAGCGTACCAGTTCTTCACTTTGTTGATGGACGGCATGGCGGATAGGTTGTGTGGGAGCGCATCGAGCTCTGCAACGCGATGCGCTAGGCGAACCGGAAGCTCCTCTGCTCCATAGCACGAATACCGTCAGATGGTTAGATGACCATGCCCGTTGCACGTACGCACCTGCTAAGAACTGACTCGCCCGGAGCAATGTCCCCTGGTTGGGATTCTGTCCGAACAGGACCATTTGCTGGAGGGATACTGTGCGTGCCAATTAGTGACTACCGATGCGCACAGACCGCTGAGACGGACCTCCTGTCTGGGGAAAGGACGCAAAGTGGTGTATCCTGTCCCATAGGGCGGGCGTTATGCGGAAAGTGGCGGACATGGCTGGCGAACGAGCGGCACGTCTTCAGCGGGGGCAAGCAAGGCGGGGAGACGAGAGGGAATGCGGGGAAGCGAGGGTCATGTATGAGCAGAAGCGGGGCGTATTTGACAAGGCTAGACAGTGCAGCAGACACTAGCCGGGGCGCGCTGTCCAATCCATTCCTTTGCCCCGCATTCAAGTCTAGAAGCAATCACGTGGAACGCGTCTGGTCCATGCGGGACCTCCCAAGCCGTGGCGGACTATCCATAGCCCGGTCTGAGGAGGAGCTCTGTGGCCGCGCACAACCGGCCGAGCACGTCCAACCGTCGGGAAATACTTCAGAGAATAAAAAAGATATTTCATCCCGCATCCATTGGCGTATGTTGCTCACATTCTCCTTGACGCTGCACCTGTAGACCCTATGCACATTTCGTAGTTCGTATAGGCTACATAATTTCTATTCGACTAGAGCTACCAAAAAAAACAAATGACAAGGTATGATACAATATGCCGTATATGCTAGTGTACTGGATGGAACGAATTGTCATACAGACCGTCTGTGAATATTAGGTAACGTATAATCTTACTTGCTGCTCTCCCGACCCTCTCGTGCTCAGAACCCGTGGCCGGTCTCTGCTCGGACATTTGATGTATAATGCGGGTGTGGATGAGGATGAGCTGACGATGTGTATGACGGTCGCTGTTGCTGATAGGGCATTGTCGGAGTCCATGAATAGGGCTGCTCGGGTTGCTCGTCGATCATCTCTACCGAGCGCTTCGAAGGCAATCGGACGTGTTCATAGATCGCAGGAGCCCCACTTGACGATGACCGCGACGATTGTCCGCTTAGACTATCCCTCCGCTCGCTCTCCGGCGAAGAGACCGGAATGCTTTGACTCTTCAACTCGGCCTCCAACGCCTCGATCTCCTCCATCATACCCTGGTTGGCAAACTTGAGCTGCTGCAGCTCGTACTGCCAACTCGTCGCCGTCGTCAGCTCCGCAAACACGTTCTCGTTTGGTGGGTGAACCGTCGACCTGGCCTTCGGCACTGAACCATCGTCGACCTTGACCTGGCAGACGACAGGACGGGACGCACGCCGAGCGGAATCGTCCCAGAACGCAGACGCTAGAGACGAGCCCTGGGGAGCTTGCGACCGATAGACAACGACCGTCACCCTAAACGAACCTCCGTCCTTCTTCTTCATCCAGCATCCAACGCTCACCGGGTCCTCCCGTTCGTTAACCGCCGTCCTTCCCACCGAGCCTTCCACGACTCTCACCATGTCCTCGTCTCTCTCCCCATCCGCCGTCACGACCAAGTCGCCGACGGGCCGCCCAATCATCTCGCCCACGCTCCAGCCCAAGATGTCCTTCACTGCTGCGCTTACGACCAGGAACGTACCACCGCTGCTCAGCATACCCCAGAACTCCTTATCGGGAGTCGGATGGCGGTGAGCCGAACTTGAACCCTCCTCACCTGACCGCGACGTCGGCAAACCCTCAGGCAGAGGCATCAACCCGCCCGCCTTCGATACCGCCGCCCAACTGAGCTGCGGCAGCTCCTTCACTCTCCCGCTCAGCACGATCGCCTTGCGACCCTTCCCAGGCTCCACATGCAACCGCCCACGACACTCCACCCACACCCAGCTCCCCCACTTTGCCTGGGCCCGAAAGAGCAGGTCGACGGTCTTCGGAACACCCATCCCAGACGCAGAGCCAGCGCCCTCAGAGGCAGCCGATCCAGGATGCCCAGTCGACGACTCCTTGAGCTCCCGCATCAGCGGGACGACGTCCGCCGGATGGCAATACTCCGAAATACACTTCCCTACGAGCTCTTCAGGCTCATACCCGAGCACCTTGCGTACCGCCGGTGCGACATACAGGAAAGAGCCCTTGAGCGAGAGAACGTGGATGAAGTCGGGCGTTCCCTCGAGCAGAACGAGATTCAACGGGTGCGCGCCGTCGACCTCCGATTTGCCGTCCCCGGGCCCTCCGGTGGAAGCGAGAGCGTTGCTGTCGAGGGTCAATGGCAGGGAATTGACGAAGGCCTGCGACGAGAGCAGGGACCGGAACTCCTTCGAGACGGCGTGCATGGCGGTACCGCTAATCCGTCTGGCCGAAGCCCCAGCAGGTGGTGGTATGATAGCATTGGAGCTGTAATTCACGACATACGTGCCATCCCTCACTTTCTGTAGTATCGCGTTCGGCTGGTCCGTGAGGTCAACCTGGAAGCCGACCTGGTAGAACACCTCGTCGCGCTCTTCGGGGCTGTTGCTCGCGCCTCCGTAGAGCGGAATGACAGTGACCAGGTTGATGAATGCACTGCCATCCTTGCGGTAGTTGACGATGCTCGTCTGGCATTCCTTATTGGCTACGAGGTTTTTCCTGAGGTAGGCGACAGATTCGGGAGAGGTAAACTTGCGCTCCTCGCCCTTCTCGAGACGACCCCCGGGCGCCTGAAGGAAGCGGCAGTTGCGGCCGATGACTTCATGCTCGTCGTACCCCGTCAAGGCATAGAAGGACGGGGACGCATACACGATCGGAGAATCGTATCGCCGCACGTCGACTACAGTAAACGAGCATGTCATGTCGACCGGTCCGAGGGTAATGGTGGGATTAGGGCGCTGTGCTACACGGGCCAAGAGCGAGAGAAGATCGAAGCCTGTGGCGGAGTAGAGAGGGAGACCAATGCCCGAAGACGAGGTGATAGGAATCGTCGGAAACATCGTCGTCCCCAGGACCGTCGCCAACGGGGCGCGCATGTCCAGCGGTACCTGGCTGCCGCCAGTAGAGCTCGAGGGGTAAGAATGGTGGCGCTGGCGAAGGGGGTCATAGGACGGTCTGAGCATGGGGCTGGGCGGCGACGAATCGGGCGGTGGCCTGTCCTCTGGCAAGAGAACGGACCGAGTGTCCACGGACGGGACTGACTGTCTGTGCCGGGGCGGTTGCATGCCATGGCCCAGCGATGAATAGGCTTGCGACTTTGGTTGCGAGCTCGAGGCGCTGGCAGAAGATAAGACGAAAACAGAAGAGAAATTACGAAACCACTCACGGATCCTCATCGACATAGAAGCCGTTGTTGCTGAACCAGGACGACGCGAGCGACCCGGGCGCATTCACCATCCCCGCTGGAAGAACCTCGGCGCCGCCTCCGTACGCAAGCGTCGGCGGGCCTCCCAGCATGAACTGGGGCATCTGGAATTGCACTGAGCCAGAAAACGTCGCAGAGTCGACGCCGGCGACGGCCTGGCTGCCATTGTCATCTTCCCCGTTGTAGTAGCCATAGTCTGAATTCGGACGTTGGGACGAGCTCGATGGACCTGCGGGCTCAAAGTACTTTGAGAACGGCATGTCGCTGCTGCGCGCTCGACGAGTGCTACGACGAGGACACGGCGCAGACGACGGTGGAGGGCCTTGAGGACGGCGGCGGCGATGACAGGGACGGATGTTGGAGCATGGACGGACGCCGTTTATATTACGCTTCGCGCTTAGCTTCTTTGACACCCCTCATCCGCTCTTTTCGCGCTGCCCTCCGTAACAGGCCATTACTCCCGCTCGCTCATTCCGCTATAAATACACTCGTGTTCTGTAGCCAAATGCAACGTCTATTGAGCTGTCTCACTACGAACGTTGTAGATATCAGCACCCGCTCTGCCAACACCTCCTAATAGTCCAAGCGAAAGATCCTTCTATGCCCCGTTTCCCCTAGCCGCCGCTCATAGGATCGAGCGGCGTAGTGAATATAGGGCAAGATGCAAATAGACGAAAGGCAGAGCAAACACAATCACCTCACTTACGTTTCCAGGCACCTCGTCCATACGGCAGGATATCATATACATGCTGCATATCGTAAGGTACAGGGTAACACAGAGATAGATCATGCCGCGAGCTGAGTACGCAGGTTCTGCTCCAGAGGGCCCTTCGGCCGGATGAACTTGACGTATGCACCATCCCTAAGTCCGCGGTGAGGGTTGTAGCGGTACACGATAAGCAAGATACGCACTGGATCACACGCTTCTCCTCCTTCAGCTTCTGGTAATCTTCCCGGTCAACGTTCGTGAAGCCCCACTTCTTCGAGACGATGATCTTCTGGCGACCAGGGAACTTGTACCGCGCACGGCGCAGAGCCTCCATGACGACGGGGGCGTTCTGGTCCTTGCACCGGATGGAAAGGATGATCTGGCCAATGTTGACACGGGCGACAGTGCCGTACGGCTTGCCCCACGCGCCACGCATACCGGTCTGAAGCCTGAGGTACGCGGACCGTCAATCTCGACCGCCTGCCCAATACTCCGCGTCTACGCACCTATCAGCACCGGCACAGGACAACATCTTGTTGATACGGAGGACGTGGAAGGGGTGCACGCGGACCCTCAAATGGAACGAGTCCTTGCCGGCCGTCTTGGTGACATACTTGTTGGCGCAAATACGGGCAGCTTCGAGTGCTTCGCTCGACAGCTGCTCGTACTCGTCGGACACCAAGTGGACGCAGAAGGGGAAGTCGTCGACAGAGGCGCGTTTCCGGCCAAGATCGAAGATACGAATCTATACCATACGCATGAGGCTCCCAGCGCAAATCAAGTCCAACTGCTTCGACCGACCTTGGGGTCAGGGACACCACGGTTGTACCGCGACTTGGGGTACGGCTTGTTCTTGCAGTAGCGGTAGCAGCGAGCGGGACGGCGACCCATGACGAATGTAGATTCTGCAAAGCCAAGTCAGCGTCATCCGACGACATCTGGACGCATCCATCCCGCGCCCGCAGCATTTCCAGCTCAAACTGGCTGGAAGCGACAACGCAGCAGCATAGCAGCAAGGAAAGACGACTTACGGGTGGTGAAAGTTAGTGAGGACGACGGGTGGCAACCGAAAGCCTTTTGAGAGCGGGGACTTGGGGATTACAAACCGCGGGACGAACTGGCTGAGTAAGCCCAGAGTAAGCCCGCGGTGGCGCCAGCTTGACTCGGCTGCACAGCCCCGTGGCACAGGCAAGCCTGGAAGCGGCTGTGGCAAGTGCACTCCCGCCACAAAGTTGACTACATACTACACAGTGAAATGCATACAGCCCTCAATAACCACGACATTCTTGCTCTCATATTCGCCTCTCTTTCTCCCGAAGTCGGAAGTGATAGGGCATCGGTGCTCAACTGTGGCCTGGCCTGCCGTGCGTTCAAAGAGCACGCATTGGATGCTCTCTGGAGGAGCATCTATTCAATTATGCCCCTTCTCCATGTTATACCATGTATCAATGTCATCAACGGGAAATGGGTGTGTTTGCTCAAATTATACTAGGACACATTCTTGGCTCATTTTCGTCAAGGCGCTAGAGCGTCCTGTCAAGCCCAATGAGCTAGAGCACTTCAAATACTATGCTCATCGTGTTCAGGTGCTGCTCGACTATCAAGACTCGATAAGTGAGGTTGATCTTTCAGTCTTTTCCCAGTTGACACAGCTCCTGGGTGGTCCCCTCTTACCCCGCCTACGCGCCACACACTTTGTCTGGGTACCGGGAAGACAATTCCCCGATGTGTTAATAGGCCCAATGTTGGACTTCATCTGTATCCGCCTTATAAGACGTTCCCGTCCAAGGCCTTCACCAGACGAGGGACGTAGAGTCGCGGAAGGCTTCTCCTCGCTCCTCCTCAAACTGTCTCGCGACGTTCCGCGTCTGTGCCATCTGATCATAAGTGATACAGGTTCTTACCTTCCCATCGCACATGACTTCTGCAGCTTGAAGCGGCTGAAGACACTGCAGGTGGAGAATTTGCCGGGACTCCGCGGGGCACCCAAACATGGACCTGTCCTCACCCCCAACCAATTTCTTTCCCTTTCAGCTTTTACCGAACTGCATCATCTCAAGCTGAATGTTGCTCAGGCATCTGGTTTTGGCGACATTTCATTTCATCTTCCATACTTGCACCGAGTCGAGCTTATTGGACCTGTAAGCGACGTCGTAGCTACCCTCAGGGCCGTGCAAACAAGCCCGGTAGTTCAGGTGGGGCTGAAGTTAACCAGATACGACCAAGTCATTTACTCCCTGTTCCCATGTGTCGTCTTTCCTCACCTTGAAGAGCTGGCCGTATCTGAAGAACCATCCATGGCCTTGGGTATATCGCAACCGCTTGAGGAACCTTCGGCCAAGACCATCATTTCATCTCTTCTCAGCTGCCTGGATCTTAAGAAATGCAGCATTCGGACGCCTTCTGTCGTTGTGCTTGCGGACGATGGTATGATGGATTCAATCGCCCAATCGTGGCCAAAACTCGAGGAATTCGCTTGGGACTTCCACAACCTTACAGACATAGGCCTGACGCCCAACACGCTCGCGTCCTTTGCGGCTCACTGCCCTCGCCTCATATCCCTCGGCCTCCCAGTCCAGCTGGAAATGCCGCTGCCCAACGAGCGGCCCATATCTGTGCACGGACTGAAACACCTCACATGCTACAAGGCACTCCAGCCGTATCATGCGGCGCAGGCAGCGCAGCGTATCCTGTACCTGTTCCCCGGCTTGGACAGGGTTCTCTTCGATTGTGCGCGTATTCGAGCGGAGGACGCATGGTTGAACGAGGCGATCGAGGCCCTCAGAGGGACGAAGAACATACGTGGTGAGCAGGAGCTCTCAGCTGCTCCCGCTCGAGACTGAGGCGTACACGCCATATGTGTATATGTGCCTGCTAGGAGGACAAGGCGTACTATGCAAAACGACTGTGTCGGTAAATTGCCTGAGGATTGTGATTTGCGGTGGTGATGTCAATTAAACAAGTGGACTATCATGCTCCCATTATACCCGGACCTTCGGTGCACCCCCTCTATAGCAAACCTTTCTATGCTCCAGGTTGCCCTACACAGCCGTTTGACTTTTGACTCATAGAATCGACAGCAGTGTATTCAATTGCGGTTACGGCGAGAGTCAGAACGACGAGGGGTCCTAGCTCGGTAACATGCGTGCTTGTTTTTACAAGGGAGCCCGAGTTGACCGTTCCACCCAAATACACTGCAAAGCAGGTCTTCACCAGTCGAGAAGACATTACGAAAATTTAGGAATACCACTTGAATGACTACGACCTCGTCATGCACCATACCTCATGTGCCATCTCCCCGGCGTAGCCGATTGAATTTGGGCAGCATTTCGCGCAGGTACTCTGCATGTTTCCGCCTGAGATCAGCTTCCTGCACCTTACCTCTCCCGGTCCACTTGCGGCGTTCCGCGGCGGGCCCGTAGATGACAGTGTAGTCGTCAAGCACCTCGTCTTCTGTGGGCACGACGAGGCAACCCGCGCCGACGACGCAGAAGGACGCCAAGCGGACGGTGTGGTGTACCCGCGCGCGCGTCGAGACGGTGTTGAAGTTTCCTACGGACGGAGATTCGACTCCTGCGACAATGTTAGTCTGTAAGGTGAGAGAGCGATGGAGAGGAGACATACGGCAGCCTATTTCAAAGAGGTTGTCGTCGCCAATTCGCATGACTTCTTTCCGACTACACCGATACCGTTGAGGGCTGGGTTGTAACGGAAGTTATAAAGAACGCTTGCCGGTTGACAATGATTGCGCCCTCCTCGATGATGTTATTCGAGCCAATAACTATGGGCCCAGCTATTGCGAATATAGTAGCCTTTGGGTGAACAATGGTGCCTATGGGCTTGCGGTCAGGATGCGGCAAGTACGATGCTGGTAGTAAGTACTCACCCGAGCCAATTGTGATGTCACCCTTGAGCTCAACATCCTGGCAGACGACGGCCTTTGAGTGTATCGTGTACTTGTCGCGTCTAGCGCAAGTCAGATTAAGGCCTTGCAAAAGAGCAGTGTGGACCAACCGACATAGGAGGCATGGTGGTCGTAAGAGACTACAAACGGCGTAGAGACGACTAGAGAGCGGTTTGTAGTGGGACTACAAAAGCCTGGGAAGAGAGGCGCCTCGTGTTGTTGCCTCGTTTACATCATCTCGGGCGTATACCCATTCCTTTCCCCTGTACCCGTTCACGTCTGCTGGATACCCGGTTTGCATCTCTTTCTTTTCTTCATCCTTTCTAATGGCCCCCCCGGTCCCCGCCCCGCCTCCGCCGTCTCTTCAGGAAGCGACCAAGCACGCAACCCAGGCCTGGCAAGACGACCTCCAGTCGCTCTTCAACAACGCCAAGGACCGCTTTCCCGACGTCGTATGGGAGCTTTACGCCGAGGAAGACGACAAGGAAAAGAGCGGGGAAGAGGTCTGGGGCCATAAAGGTGTGTTCGACTCGAGTCCTGTCGTTCGACTTCGCCTCTGGCGCCGGCGTCTGGTATGACATGTGCGCGCTCCCACAGCGCTATCCGTGGCGCTCTTGCTATTTGGAACGGAACTGACAGGCGAAATAACATGGTCACCCTTGGATGATGATGTTGGATGTCCAGGCGCGCAGGCTGGGGTCCGTCGGAGGCACTGCGCAATTGACAGAGGCCGGCGACGGTGTATTGGAATAAGGCGCCTGCTTGTTGACTCAATACTAACGCACTTGCTACCGCAGCCATTGTCTATGCAAGAGCTCCTCCCAGTTTCCAAGCCCGTTATTTCTCGTTTCGACCTGCTCCTGTTGCATCTCCGACTCCATATTCTGCATCTCCAGGAACACTTGCAGGCCAGTCGTCTCTTTCTCTGGGCCTCGACTTGACTCCATCACGATCCCCTTCACCCTTCCGCGTCCCTTCTCCCTCACCGTCCGGAACAGCAAACACCCTCCTGCGAATCCCGACCTTCATTAACCCGATATTATTCTCGAATGAACTCGAGTATCTCTATACCGGCAAAGGCCTCGGTGAAGCCTTCGAGTTCCTGTTCGACAGCACGGACTCTCGTGAAGACGCGGATACTGAAGAGAGTCGCATCGACAAACTGCGGAAAGACCTCGTGTTCATGTGGAGGTCTCGCCTCTACTCAGACGTTCGTATAACCCTTGAAGGCAATTTCTCTTCCAGCAACCACGAAAGCGCCACTGCCATTTTCTCGTCACACCGCTTCATTCTCGTTTCTCGGTCTCCCTACTTCCGTACTAGGCTCCTGACATGGCCGGGTGCCGTCACAAAGGCTTCGGAGCCTCTAACGTTGAACCTCCCCTCACCTCCGTTCACCCCTGCCTCATTGTTCTTCACTCTGGGCTTCATGTACGCTGGTACACTGGTCTTCTCGCACCGCACCTACGACCTCGATACCGCGTTCCACATCATGCGTTCCGCAACGTATCTCTCTCTCGACAGCTTATACAATGAGATCCAGGCGCGGATTGTGCAAGAAATGATGCACGGCCTCTTCCATGCGTTCCTGGAGTTCTCTGAATACGAGCGGATAACGGGCGGGAAGTGGGGTATCGGCGGCTGCCGTTGCCGACAATGTGCCAGGCGCGCTCCCAGGGTGCTGGAATTTGCGACAGCCGACGACGTGAAGAATCCCCACCTTGACCGCGGCGCTAGGCGAGCTCTCGTCGGTCTCTTTGGCGAAGGCTGGGTTACTCCGGAATTCACCAAGTTACCTCAGAAAACACGGGAGAGTCTGTTGAAGGGTCTCGCCAAACGCACGAACCCTCCGAATGTCTTCGCACTCCTGTTTGCCGCCCAGCACGCGATTGAGAAGCTGAAGACCATAATCGATGCATGGGCGGATATATCCAGAGATATGGTCCTGTCTGCCAGGAAGGTGATGGACGAAGTCCTCTGCAATCAGGCTGAGGAATGTTTTGAACAGCCTGAATGGCTAGAGCTGATGGAAGCTGACGGCGTCCGGTTCGAGGATGGCGAGCGGGTCGGGATTGTTATGGATTCGGTATTGCGAGGTCTGAACGAGAAGAATGCAGGTCTAGTATATCAGGTGCGTGTTGATGGTGGCGTCAGGATCGGCGCGTTCTTGATGGTCCCTCTTAGACTCTGGTCTCTTCGATACTGCTTCGGCCTCATGCTACGGAAACGGATCAAACGATGCTGTCGTCGACTTCCCATGTACGCGTCCAAGTGGAGGAAACGCGGGTGGAGGTCCTGAAGTGGTTGCGGAAGAGGTGGCTGGGCGTGCGGCAGGAGGGAGGCTTCGATAATCTAGAGGGGTGGGCGCTGAAGGAAATCAGTCATGGTATCTCACATGTTTCTTTGTTTTCTTCCCCTGCGCTTATTCTTGCATTTCAGAAATCGAAGTCCCTCACGAAGACCTCATGAACACAGCTCCTACTTCTACACGGGGGCCTGTTACAAGGACTGGGCTCAGGTCCACGCTGCGGGCAGAGACGGAAACCGATACTGTGAGCATGCACTCGATGCGGACGAGTATTGCGCAGCGCAACCTGGCCAAGTCGCCTGTTGGCCGCGAACCCCTGGCTTCGTCTGCTAGCTCGGTACGATCGACCACCCGCAGCACTATGTCCTCTTCTTCCCGTGTTACTACTAGCCGACCCCTCCGTGTTCGCAATTTTGTGCCCTCTGGTCCCCGCCCCGATTCCAAGTTGACTCCGGATTCTTCGATTGCTGCTGACGACCGTTCGTCGATGGCCGAGTCGGAGACCACAGAGACAAGTTCCACACCTCCGAAACCTACAATTCCCCGACGGAGTGGTGCTTCTAGTTCTAGTATGACGCAAGATACCACTAGGCCCAAGTCTGTAGCTGCGTCCGTGAAGACCGTTCGTTCGAAAGCGTCTACTGTCCGCAAGGTACCTGTACCCAGTACATCCAGCTTGCGACCGCCATCATCGCTATCACGACCTAATTCCACGTTGTCGACGACTAGCGATTCGTCGACGACTTTCAAGACTGCACCTTCTGATATCACTTCCCGGGCGGCCTCCTCCCGGGCGCGCAGACCCTCTGTGGCTTCCACCGTGTCTACAACCAGCGTGCGGACAACGCCTAGGACTCCAGTGTCGGTCAGTGCGAAGGTGACTCGCTCACGACGGCCTTCCGTCTCCTCGACGACGTCCGCTATTTCCACGACAGCACGCAAACGTCCCTCAGTGTCCCCATTGGACACAAAACCAGGACCGGCCAAGCGTGCGCCGTCGATGGCTTCCGTTCATTCAACAGCGTCCACGTCAACAACGGGTCGCAAGACGCCTGCACGTAAGCCTGGAGCACGTGATGAAACTCCATCTCGAACCGACACACCTCCAACCCCCGCCAAACCAGTTCCAGCTTCTGCTGCGAGCACGATCAAAGGGAAGAGCACCGCGAGGACCGTACACGATAAGACTAACAGTGTCGTATCGACGAGCAGCGTATCTACGTTGAGACGCAAGGGCTCCTCCGATACCATCAAAGAAAATGGAGTGAAGGAAATTGCCGGAAAGGAGAATGGGAAGCGTCTACATGAGTCAGAGCTGGCCACGCCCCAGCTACAGGAGCCTCTGGCATTTTCACCTCGGGGAGCGACACTGGATATTGGCATTCCTTGCATAATCTCGTCCAAGCGAGCAAGGTTCAAGGCTTTTGCTCGATATATCGGAGAAGTAGAAGGCGAGTCAGGGCCCTGGGTTGGCGTCGAAGTGCCCGTGGACGATACGTGGCCTGATGAGAAGTTGGAAGGCCGACAGTGGAACGACGGGTCATGGGGAGGAGTTCGGTATTTCCAGCTCGGGACTGGCTCTGAATTCGACTACGGTGATGGCAGAGCTGTACGGCGTAGGCGATTCGACTGGGCGACCGTGAAGGACCGCGGCTTGAAGCGAGAGGGGGATACGCTCAGCGTTGACAGGGTCAAAAGACTACGGAGCGCGTCTCCGACTGCCTCGGACGTTTCGACGTCGGAATCTAGGGGCCTATTCGTCAGACCTCAACAGGTGTTATATGTGGTGGACGCTGTAGCCTGACGGGCATCTCGATCTCGCTCAAGCTGGGACTGGTGCTGGTTTTCTGGAGTCATGTATGATTGATGTTGCATATCTGGTAATCTCGCCGTTAATTGGGAACAATTGTATTGCTTCCGGTTTCACTTTCAGCTCATACCATATTCCCAATCATTACTTTCCTTTAATTGCCCTTTGCTGGACTAATCATCAATCCGTCACACTCCTTGCACTTGATAATCTCCAGTCGCTTTTTGTTCCGATGGCCATACATAGTGTTCCACCTGGCCACTGTCCGCTTGACGCGGAGGGAACATTATATACATTCCGGGGCTGCGCTATGACAATTGTGAATAGGTCTTGCAGATGCAAGTCGAGTACTGGACTGACAATATACGAGGGACAGAATAGTATTCGTCTCCGTGACATCCACCAGGGGTAGTCCATAAACTTGACACCACGGATTTAGGTCTCCCGATATCTTGATGTTACCTATGCTCCTGCATCGACCAGCAATTTTGGGAATGGGGACTATTGCTGGAGGGTCAGCCTCTTGCGCGAGAACTGGCTCGCCGGAGAGCATTCACGACTTTGAGTACTTCTCCCCATTTGCGATCAGTACTGGTGATGTGCTCAATATTGGGGAAGAGCGTGTAGAGCCACTGCGCAGTGTCGGCGACGTCGTTCAACTCCGGCCCGAAGGGGACGAGCGTTCGTAGGCCGTGGCCCGACCGTGGGGGCTCGTCGGAAGCGGGATATGGCACGTTCCCGTCGAATGCAATCATGAGCACTCGTAGTCTAGGGCAATGCACAGTGAATGCCTGTAAGCCGCGGATAGAAGGCCTACGTTCCCTATCCAGCGCGAAATTCCAGCAGAACCATTTCAGACGGGGCCACGCCTGGGCGATCTGAATCAAATTATCGTCGTCCATGAGCACTGGTTGTTCGGCGAACTTCGTGAGTTCCATGTGGAAGTGTTCCAACCTCCTGCACTCTAAAAGGGGAGGTATGAGAGTACTGACGTCTAGCGTTATGCCGGCATCGACGTTGCGACGCTGCAGCCCTGTCGGCAGTTCCAGGTACATGTGCGTCAAGGTAGAGAGGCTTAGGTAACGATAGAGAGAATGGTAATAGTCCAGTTTCAGTCTAGCTTCGGTGCCCAAGAAAAGAGCGACCTGTCGCAAACCAGCCGCAGACTGCACCAGGCGAAGCACCTCGGCGACCTTAGACGGGGGGCCAGTCAGCTTGAATTCTCGAAGAGCCCTGAAAGTGAGAGGAGTCGCATCATACGACAGACGGATATCATCCACATTCACGACGAGTCGCCTCAGGGAATCCATCTGGGAAAATGCAGAGAGGTCGTCGTAAGATACGGAGGCTGTAAGTCTGTATGGATTCCAGTGACATTCGGTTGCGATGAATAGTTCCCTCAGCCGCTTGAAATTATGCACGGCCTTGAACGATGTTCCCGGGAGGACCTCTCGCAGCGTCAGACCTTGCAGATTCGGGACAACATCAGCCAAATCCTGCAAGACAATCTGCACTGCTTCACGCTGTGAAACGGAATGTTCCAATCTGAACTTTTCAATCTCTTCTTCATCGCGTTCAGTATGCGACAGACTTAGGTCGACGTCAACTAGGGTGGAAGTCACGAGGGATGAAAGCTGTATACCCAGGTCCTTGGAGAACCACTTTAACTCTCGGAGTAAGGGTAGAAGTGGCGAGCCCATAATTCGAGAGAGCCTCAGGTAGGCTGTGGGGTGTATTGGGGTATAGTCTGCTCCGTCGTAACAAAGCTTGCGGACACGACAAGCGTACGCTCTGATGCGCATCACCTCGTCTTGCGTGACCACTCCGGTCAAGCTCTGTGTGGGAGATGCTTTAGCTATGCTTACTTCGATAATCCCTCACATTGCACATACACTGAGATCCCTGCCAAGGGAATTGAATGATTTTGTGAGTCGGAACAGTGGGTACAGGGAATCCAAGATCCTCCAAAGGGCGTCCAGAGCTAGTTCTTGCATTCTCCGAGACGTCAGGGCGGCGTTGAGCATGGCAGTACGAAGATCTCTTTTCTTCTCATCCTCGTCCTCATCGATGATGTCGTCTAGTTCATCTACGAGCTTCCCGAAAATTTGAGCGAGGATATCTTCTTGGCAAAAAAGCGGATGCATCCTGGACATCAGAGCAGTTCTAGCAGTCATGTTTTAGCTACAGATTGTGTATGCTGTGGTGTCCTCGCAGTGGGTCGGGAGACGCGAGTGAACGAACGGTCATGCTTTCAAGCGCAACTACGGCCCGGGCTTCCGTCACGAATGCCACAGTCGGCGGTAGATCAAATAAAGGCTTGACATCATATTATCCGCTATATCCCTAGTCTTTAAAATTCAACTGTATGCTTCCCCTTCAATATCTGGTATATAGAGGACAGTCGCAATATCCAACCACGTATGCGACTTCACGGGACGTCTTGACGCCAAAAGAGAACCTAGGTCGCGGCCTATCCACTGCCAGTCACCTGATTGAGGGACTTCGAGTGAAGACGAAACAGTAAAAATTGGCGACGACGACCAAGAGCCCTCCCACTCACTGCGAGGCGCTGCAGAGACGCTGACGAGACAAACGTCGCAACCCCACCCGCGAGATCCCGTCCCGGCCTACCAGGATCAACCGTGGACTGCTCTCATTCTCCGGAAAGCTTGGACGATTTTCAGCACCTGTGGCCATTTCCCGCGTTCCATGATGTCCTCCACGGACGGAAAAAGCGCGTACACCCACTGCGCAGTATCAGTAATTTCCCCCAAATCGGGCCCATATGCGACAAGCCTTTTCAGATCATGTTGCGAATCGGGTGCTTTATTGGCCTCGGGAAAGGGGACATTGCCGTTCAAGGCGATCATTAGAGTTCGCAGACGCGGGCAATGAGCTGCAAAGGCATGCAAACCTCGGACCGTAGGTATGCGGGATATGTCGTAGGCAAAGTTCCAGCAAAAATACTCCAGGTGCGGCCACGCTTGAGCCATTTGAAGCAAGTCGTCATCGTCCATCAGCACTCGTTGCTCTGCGTGGCTACTCAGTTCAATCTCGAAATGCGTCAGCTGTGCGCATACGAGGAGCGGGGGTATAATGGTCCGGACATCCAGAACGACACCAGCGCGTACATTCTGCTTCTGCAGGTCATATGTGAACTCGACAAATAAGTGGCGCAAGCTTGGCAAGCTAATGCAGCGGAAAAAGTTTTGGTACCAATCATGCTGCGGGGCATCGCCGCCGCCCAGACAAACATCGATACGTTGGAGAGGGATCGACTGCACCAACTTCAGGACAGCGATGACCTTCGACAAATGGCCTGTGAGCTTGAGGACCCGTAGGGATCGGAACGAAAGAGCTCTCGAAGTGGTCAGCACATCCGTATCGTCGACGTTGGCAGAGAGTTCCGAGAGGCTGCCCATCTGGGACAATGCCAGCAAATCACTGTAAGATATGGATACGAACGCGTTATAAGACTGCCAATAGACGTCCGTGGCGATACGGAGGCTTCTCAAGCGTGTGAAGTTCCGCACGGTGTAGAGGGACACTCCGGGTCTGAAGTTCTCCAGTACGAGCTCTTGAATATGCGGTACCTTGTCTGCTAGGTCTTCCACAACAATCTGGAGGGCTTGCGTTTGCGTTACGGAATGGGCCAGCTTGAACCTATCCTCGTCATCGTCGTCGTCGTCTTCCGATATGAATAGCCGTATATTGACGTTCACGAGAGTAGACGTAACAAGCGAGGGAAGCTGCAGGCCGACATCTCTAGAGGACCATGTTAAGTCCCGAAGCAGAGGCAGTATCGGTGACCCTAGAGCCTGGGCTAGTCTTAGGTACGCAACAGGATGGATCGGTTCATAGTAGCCGACGTAAAAGAGCTTACGGACGCGACCCGAATACTTTCGGACGCGCTGAAGCTCCTCCTCCGTAACCCCTTTGATCAGCGTCTACTACACTTGTGAACAAGAGCGGCAGAGGTAGTATTGAATTCACATACAAAATTCCCATGGACCGAGCCGAACCCGTTTACGAGCCGAAATATGGGGTGTAACGAGTCCAATATTCTCCATAGCGCATCCAGAGCGGGTTCTTGCATAGTCCGACACGTCAGAGCAGCATGGAGCATGGTACCACGTAGGAGAGATTTCTGGATCTCATTCCTCTCCTCTTCGCCGTCTCTTATGTTGTCAAGCTCGTTCACGAGCTGTCCGAAGACTTGGGATAAGATATCTTGTGAACATAGAAGGGAGTGCATTATTAATGAGCGATGTCGGTGTCGCGTCGCGCGGTGAAGTCAATACTTGTCGCGACGCGAAGCTGCAACCTCAGGTTCCCATCAACGCGATCAAGGCGGGCGCTACGTGAAGGTACTCATTGCAGCGAAGTGCTGTTACTGCATACTATATATGAATGAGTTTCATTGAGATGTCATACACCATGCTGGCCCAGGAATCCTATTTCAGTGGTTAAGATGCGAGATAATACTACATTTTAGTGGATGAAAATTTGGACTATAAGTAGTCCAACGGGCCTCACTGGGGATAGTGTCATCCTTTGCAAGGTCCTTTGTTAGCCTAGCTAGCATTGTAGCTTATCCTCGCTAAAGTTCAACCACCTATTTTGTAAGTAGGGCGGCGACGACTCCATCTGAAGACCGGTGCTCGAACCGAGGCCAAGCTATATCCTGAGAGCGGCCCGGGCTTCCGCAACGAATGCCACAAGCTGGTTGAAGTCGACGGTAGACAAAGGCTTATTCTAGTTTTTAAAATATAACCAAACCATTCCGCACGGAGGACTGAGGCAATTTCTGACTTTGTACAACGTGCTCATTCAACGCTCGTGAGCTTTTGGGTGAATATATTACTATGATACACGGAAGATCTAGGATGTCCGACAGAACTGGCGCATAGACGAGTACGAGATCTTCAATATCGGTCCCGAACAAAACGAACTTGACGAGTCTAGTTTGCACACCCCCCCCTTGTATTTTGCCTACGAGACTCAACGCCAAATACTATGGCGCTCCGATGCGGAGGAGTAGATGGGCTCGCGCTCAGACCACGGGATGACTCGCCTTTGCGGCCGAATCTGAAACTGCACCCTCGATCCGTAACTGTAATTGCGAGGCTTTATGGCAGGGAAAAGCGCGGTAATGTACGGCGCCGCCTTCTTAGCATTCGGGGGCCACATACTCGGTCCATATAGCACGAGCGTCTTCAGCCCATGGCCCGATATGGGGAGTGACTCCGGTGTGTCTGGCAGGGGCGCGTTAACATCTAGGGTGATCCTCAGATAACGAAGGTCCGAGCAGTTCTTCATGAAAGCATGCAGACCAACAAGGGTAGGAATGCGAGACTGGTGATACCCGAAATCCCATCCGAAATACTCGAGGCGGGGCCACGCCTCCGCTACGTCGAGGAGATCGTCGTTGTCCATCAACACGATCTGATTCTCGTAGTTGCTCAGCTGCATTTCGAAATGCACCAGTTGGGAGCACCCGAGAAGAGGGGGTATGAGGGCCTGCGCGTCCAGCACTATCTCAGCTTCCATGTTCTCCCGCTGAAGCTCGTCTTCGAATTGCATGGATAGGTGTCTTAGATCTGGGAAACTGAAACTGCGGAAGAGCGCTTCATAGCGCTCCCGCCGCGGCCGATCTCCCAGGCCTACATGAGCATGAACATGCTGGAGGGGAACATGCCGCAACAACGTCAGGACGGAGGTGATGCTCGACGGTGGACCCTTGAGTTCAACCCTCTGCAGCGATTTGAAAAAGAGGGGCGCACTCTTGTCTGGGAGGACGATACCGTGTACATTAGCTCGCAGATCGACAAGGTCATCCAGATGCGACAATGCGCGCAAGTCACGGTAGGACAGGGATGCAGTGTGATCGAAGAGACCGCAGTCCGACCGACCGTCGACGCGTATGGTCCTGAGTTGCTTCAGGTTCTGCACACCTTTCAGGGACAGTTCAGTCGGCATATCCCTCAACAGTAGGCTCTGTAGATTCGGAGCGCCGCTGAGAAGATCTTGCCAGACGATTTTCATGGCATGGGCTTTGTCGACAGAGTGCTGTTGCTTGTATTCTTTGTCTCGTGCGCTCCCCGGCTGAGGCTCCATGCATATATCAAGGTTGATCAGAGTGGGGGTGATCAGTGATGAGAGCTGTACACCGGTGGCGCAAGACTCCCAGGTCAACTCTTGTAGTGATGGTAGAATGGGAGCCATCATCACATTCCAGAGCCTCATGTATGCCATGGGATGTATCTCAGGATAAACACGGCCGAAAGGGGTGGCCTTCCTTCGGTGACAAACCTTGCGAACTCGACGGGCATAAGTTCTGACCCGTCGGACATCAGCCTCTGTCACTCCGCCCGTCAGGGCCTAGGTAATATTCAACCACAATGAGGGGTAACGGCGGAGAGCAGACATACCTGATGCCTGAAGGAGCGTATGAGCTTGAATATGGGATCAAGGCTGTCCAGTCTTCTCCAGAGAGCATCCAGAGCGGGCTCATGCATCGCGCGGCAGGTCAGGGAGGCATTGAACAGGGTGCGCCGCAGCTTGCATACTTTGTTGCGAAACGTTACAGCGCTGTCACTCATCCAGACGATCCGGGAATTCTGCATGCTGCCGCGAAAGATCTTCACGGCGGGAGTAGCCTTGTCGCACTCGTCCGAGTCACTACTATCTTCTTCGACAGCTTTGTCGTCGTCGACGTTGTCCTCCTCGTCTTCAACCGACTGGTCCTCGTCGACATTGTCCTCCTTGTCTTCGACCGACTGGTCCTCGTCGACGTTGTCCTCCTTGTCTTCAACCGACTGGTCCTCGTCGTCAGTCTCGTCGCTCTCTTCCTCGGACTTTTGTTCCATAGGAGCCCCGTCGTCATCATCAGGTTTAGCTAGTCTATCCAGTTCGTTCGCAATGTGCCCAAAGATTTCAGTCAAGATGGCGCGTTCGTGTACAAGGCTTCGCATAACGTGAAATTAACCTTGAGGCTCAGGGAACGACGTTGTAGTATTCAAGTCCACTCACTGCGAGAAGCACACGTGAGAAGGCGCACGTGGTTTCCCCTGGCAAAGTCCGTTTCCTCCCGTCCGTGAGCAAAGTTGGTCATCGTCGGCCAGGGCGTCGCTTAGCTCTCTACCCATCTCTCACTTTCTTTGCAGCGCTGCCGGTCATGTTGCAGGTTCAGCGGTCGTCGCGAAAGGTATGCTACTCTGGCTGAAGGAGGCTCATTGTCGACTCATGCATCTTCAGGCTGTCGCCCGGTGTGTACTACGGAGTTCACGGCGAGGATATGCTTCAGGTTCGGAGCCTTACGACGCTGTCATCATTGGAGGAGGTGCGTATCTGAGGTTGGACCTTGACTTATAGTCGCTGACGCTGCGAGCAGGACCGGGCGGTTATGTCGCTGCTATCAAGTCCGCTCAGCTCGGCTTACGGGTGAGTGCTGTCTCTGCAGTCTTTGGAGCGTTTCGTCACACACACGACAGACAGCATGCATTGAGAAGCGTGGATCACTAGGCGGGACATGTCTGAACGTCGGATGCATACCCTCGAAATCCCTGCTCAACAACTCCCACTTGTTCCACCAAGCCCAGCATGACTTTGCGAAGCGCGGTATTGACGGTCCGTGCTCGGTTCTTGTTTAACGCCATCCAGTCAGACTGATCTATCCGTGGTGCAGTTTCCGAGGTCAAGGTCAACCTTGGCCAGATGATGAAAGCCAAGGAGCAGTCGGTTACGGGACTCACGAAAGGTATCGAGACGCTCTTCAAGCAGAACAAGGTCGACTACATCAAGGGCACCGCCTCCTTCGTCTCGCCGACCCGCATCGCGGTCCAGCTCAATGAGGGCGGATCGACGGAAGTCGAAGCGAAGAACGTCGTCATTGCGACCGGCTCGGAGGTCGCGCCCTTCCCGGGCGGCGCCATCCAAATCGACGAGGAGCAGATCGTGAGCAGCACGGGCGCGCTCGCGCTGCAGAAGGTGCCTGAGAAGATGGTAGTCATTGGCGGTGGCGTTATTGGTTTGGAACTGGGCAGCGTGTGGAGTCGGCTGGGCGCTGAGGTCACTGTGGTCGAGTTTTTGGGCGGCATCGGCGGTGCTGGTATTGACGAGGAGATTGCGTGAGTGTCGCTGACCTGTCAAGGTGCGGCGTGGGCTGATAGGCTTTGTGTGATCAGCAAGCAATTCCAGCGGATCTTGCAAAAGCAGGGCATCAAGTTCCAGCTGAACACCAAGGTCCTCGGTGCCGAGAAGAAGGATGGCAAGGTGTACATCAAGACTGAAGCTGCCAAGGGCGGCAAGGAAGCCACGGTGCGTCGCGTTTCATCGTGAATACGAGTTGTCAGTCAGTCTGATACCATGCTTGGCACAGCTCGAGGCCGACGTCGTCCTTGTTTCAGTCGGTCGCCGGCCAGTCACGGAGGGTCTCAATCTCGATAAGATTGGCGTCGAAGTGGATCAGAAGGGCCGGATCGTCATTGACGACCAGTTCAACACGACCGTGCAAGGCGTCAAGTGCATCGGGGACGTGACCTTTGGACCCATGTTGGCCCACAAGGCCGAAGAGGAAGGTGCGTGCCCGGCCCCGAGCCCCGCGATCATTCTTACCCCGTCGATCCGCTCATAAATTAACTAACGTGTACTCAGGTATCGCGGCTGCGGAGTACATCAAGGCCGGGCACGGGCACGTGAACTACAACGCGATCCCGTCGGTGGTGTACACGTACCCGGAGGTCGCGTGGGTGGGCAAGACGGAGCAGGAGCTCAAGGCGGCGGGCGTGCAGTACAAGGTTGGCAAGTTCCCCTTCGCGGCGAACTCGCGCGCGAAGACGAACCTCGACACGGAGGGCCAGGTCAAGTTCCTCACCGAGAAGGAGACGGACCGGATTCTGGGCGTGCACATCATCGGTGAGATCTGCGTCTTGACTTGACTGTGGTGGCGGCGTGCTGATGCACTGTTTCAGGCCCTAATGCGGGCGAGATGATCGGAGAGGCCGTCCTGGCCATCGAGTACGGCGCTAGCTCTGAGGACGTCGCCCGGACGACGCACGCGCACGTACGTTTCCTCGTTTATCTGACAGTCGAATGTGATGCTAACGTCTGTCTGTGCAGCCGACGCTCTCGGAGGCGTTCAAGGAGGCTGCCATGGCGGCGTACCAAAAGCCCATCCATTTCTAGGCTTGTGTCGTATCACACTGGATATATATACATTGTTGAATGCTATTGCGCGTTAATATAGTTCTCTAGTTCTGTGTATCCCTGCTCTGCTCTTTCACTTGAAAGCGCGTAATGCTCGAGTGGGTTCCCTTCGAGATGGAGGATCATCCGGCTTCGGAGGGGTGTAGATGGTCCCGAGCGGAACCGAGTCGTTATCCTACCCCGGGCAGAGCGTGTTATTAGGTATACCTCCTGGCCGTCGGGAAAGGGTGCGGACGAAGTGGTGCCGTCCCAACGGGTGAGTACGACATGGGAGGATCTGCTCCATGTGAACGGCATGCAATCAATGTCACTGGAAGCGTACATACAGATGCACGTGTCATGACTCCTCGTCCTCCTCGTCCTCCCATGCTGTGAGGGTATGCGGTCGGACTGCCATCGGCAGACCTTCCTTGACCCATGCCCTAAAGCCTCCAATGATATCTGTTGCGTTGAGGAGGCCGATGTCTTGCAAAGAGGCAGCAGCGAGCGAGGACGCGTCGCCCTCCTGGTCGAACAGGATGATCCTGATGTCATACCTGGTAGCGACATCGAGTCTCTGGGGCGAGCGTGGATCAAAGAGGAACTCGAGCGCGCCGCGCTCGACACAGAGCGAGCCGCTGATGCCGCCGTACTTGCTTCTTTGCCGCTCGGAGCGGATGTCGACGAGGATGACGGGCATGAAGGGCGCGGGCTCGCTGAGCTCCTCGCAGGCGCGCGAGGGGTTTACGCGCTCGATGCGGGCGCGCGCGTCGGAGAGCATGAGGTCCGCGGAGCGCGAGCCGGGCGGGGGGAGCGCGGGGTCGACGAGCCGCTGCGCGGACTTTTTGAGGATGTCCCAGAGCGCGGCCTCGTCGTAGGGCGTGGCGCCGAGGTCGTCGACGACGCCGATCCAGCGCGAGCCCTCGTTGTACACCTCGACGACCCTGTTGAGGAACTTGGAGCCGGCGAGCATGGCGGCGCGGCGGACCATGCGCGGGACGGAGCCGCAGATGATGACTGCTGCTGCGTTGCTGGCCTGCGGGGCGGAGCGCGTGGTGGCGACGGCGAAGAGGTAGTCGGTGCGGAGCATGAAGGAGCGCTTGAGGTGGGCTGCGACGGCGCGGAGGAAGCGCTCGTCGTCGTGCTTGGAGAGGGTGAGGATGGCGGCGACGCGGGTGCCGTCGACGGAGAGGGCCTTGCGGAGGGCGCGGGCGGCGATGCTCTGGGCGACCTGCTCGCGGACGTCGGCGAGCGTGCGCTGCGGGTGGGCGGCGCCGCTGTTGCGGAGGAAGCCGTCGCCGGACGGGGTGGACGCGGAGGACGGGTGCGACAGCTTGCTCGACGGGCGGGAGGTGGACATGGTGGGCGGGGTGAAGGGCACGCTCACGCTCGCCGCATTTAGACATAAACTCTCGGCTATTCCACACGCAATCGCGACAGAGCAAGCCCGCCTCTGCCAGCGTTGAAAGTGCAGAGTACAACGTACAGCTGCATCACTTACGCTTCCGAGACCGATCTGCCAAAATGTGGCTGAGAGTCCATCGCCACAAACGTGCCACCTCCATTCTACAATCACCTCCTAAATTGATCACGCCTGAAAGCCATGTCAATGTCTTGGAGGAACCGGAAAGCGCGGCTGGCCGAGCTGCTCCAGAGCAACGGCGACGACGACGAAGAGGGTCTCGCACTCGATAGACTCCTGCACGGCCAGAGCGTAATTGGAAAGACGGGTACGTATACTACTCAATACCCGTACGGCTGCGTCAAAAGTCATCACTCGTTTGCGGATGGTATCCAAAGCAAAGACCAAGGAAGTTGATAGTCTGCGCTTCACCGACAAGGACCTCCAGCTTCTGGGAACCCTAGAGTACGGCCAGTTTGGCGTGGTGAGTGAATTAGTCGCAGATCCGACGACCCCGCTAAGTGACACCGCAGGTCGACGTCGTCAGCTGTAAATGCGATGGCCGCGTCTACGTCCGCAAGTCAATAGACAAGCAGTTTGCCCTGCGCAACGCCGAGGTGAGCGCCGCTCCTTCCATGCCGTTATAACTGCCCTGTCAACGAGCTTCTCCCCCGCGAAGCAATGCTTCCCGCAGGTCGAGCGCGATCTGCTCCTCCGCGCGGCGCAGCACGCCAGCCGGTGGGCGCCGCACCTGCTCTGCGCCTTCCAGACGCCCACGCACCTCAACCTCGTGATGGACTACGCCGAGGGCGGCACGCTCTGGGACGTGCTCGAGTCCAGCCCGCGCGGCATGCGCATCCCCGAGGCGGACGTGCGCTGGTGGGCGCCCCAGATCGCCAGCGCCGTCCACTGGTGCCACGCGCAGGGCTTCGTTCATCGGTAAATCCCCTTCACTCCTGCGTACCGTTCCCTGCCTCCCGTCGCCGCGTTCTGAAGCCGTTTGTCCCCCGGTACTTTGTACAGCGACGTCAAGCCGCAGAATTTCGTGCTCACGGCGGCGAGCCGCGTTCTGCTCATTGACTTTGGATCGGCGGCGCCGCTGCTTCCTCCCAGGCCAGACGGCGCCCAGCTAGTGCCGACGCGGTACTGTCTCGTCCCGTGCGGGACGTGCGACTACATCTCGCCCGAGATCCTCGAAGCACACGAGCAGGCACTCATGGCGCTCGACTTGGACGACGACGACGACGACGATCGCCCGGCCCCGCGCAGGGATGAAGGAAGAGAAGGGTACGGGCGCGAGACGGACTGGTGGAGCTTCGGGGTGATGTTGTACGAGATGGTGTACGGCGTCGCGCCGTTCTTCGCCGACGATGTGCGCACGACGTACCTCCGGATCATGGATCATAAGGCAAGTTACTTCACGTCCAACTGTCTGTCTCTCGCTAATCTCGTTCGCACCAGGTCAGCCTCCGCTTCAACAAGCCCGGGGTGGAGGTATCTGCGAATCTGCAGAGTTTGATACGGGGGTACATCAACGTAGCGGCTGTTAGAGTAGTGATTGACGTGCGTTGACAGGCTTCTTACCGACGCGAGCGAGCGACTCGGGCGGCACAGCATCTCGGACATTGTCGCGCATCCGTTCTTCGACGGGATCGACTGGGGCGATCTCCACGAGCGTAAGTCAAGCCGTTTTCCTACAGACAATCATTCTACGATACATTGTCCAGGCGATCCCCCGGAAAGCCTGCACCTCCCGCAATATACGTACGCCGCACCCGCGGACGCGACGGCTGATGGGCCTGCGGACGACACGCCCTCGCAGGGGTTCCGATTCTCGCAGCTCTTCCAGTCGTCCCCTCTCTCGGGCCCGGGCGCCTCGGCGGACGCGCAGTCGATCTTGCAGGCCACGCCTGCGCAGCGGCTCTCGCAGTCCCGCTCGTCGTCGATGCGCGAACGTGCCGTCGCGTCGTTCATCGGATTCTCGTGGGGCCCGCGTGTCGACGCGTTCGGGCCAGCAGGAGCCGACTCGGACTTGTGTATGGCGCCGTCGCCTGCGCGTTCGCACGCGCGCGACGATCTGCACACCCCGCGCGTTTCGAAAGTGACATTGCCTGGCACGCATCCGTTCGTGACGCCGCTGCGCAAAGGACAAGGCCACCAGCCGAATACTGTTCCAAGGACGGGGACGATCCGCCGCACTGACTCGCGGCGGCCAGTGTCCGACCGCGAGGCTATGAAGCAGCTGCTGGAGTGCGTAGGGATGAGTGCGCGGAAAAAGATGATTGAGAGCGGGAAGAAGCCGCGCGGTATGGGGCTCGGGGAGCCCCCCTCTGCGCTTGGCCGCGGGCGGTCGGGCTCAGCCAGCCTTAGGAAAGAGCTACGGTTTGACATGACACCGCGGGTGGGCCGGTCGCTGTCCACTTCGGTGGTGGACGCGGGCGACGTATCGTCGCTGGGGGACGACGGCAGCGGGACGGAGGGCCCGCCAAGCCCGAGCCCGAGCGCGCGGCCGAGCTCTGCGATGTCCGGCGGGTCGAGGAGGAGCCGCTCGCCGACGTCGATGAGCAGGTCGCTTCCGCTGCGTCGGCTGTCGGTGGGGGCGGGCGAGCGGGGGGAGCGGACGCCGGAGCCCGGGGGAGGCCTGTCGGAGCGGGCGCTGGACGGGATGGAGCGGCGGCACAGCGAGCTTGTGCAGCGCATTGCACGTCTGGAGGCGCGGCTCGCGCGGCTGGGTGGCCGGGACGGGCCGCTGTGATTGGCTGGTATGCGATGGGAGGGTTTGGACGGGCAGGGCAACTGCCTTGTCGGGAACGCAGGGCCTGCACAGCCTCTCTGAGATGCTCGGTACCGACGTGGCGGGAGGTGCGCTTCCAGGACGCTGGAGAAATTGCGAGAAGGATGGGTGATGATACCGGGTCGTGGGCGAGTGCGCCGGGGGGGTGGCGGTCATTATTTGATTATTATGTGCACGCGGGTTAGGTCTGTGGAGGGACGACCCGGAAAGATCCTCTATATGTAGATACATGTCATATTTTACCGTTCGGGGATTATTGGTCAAGACAGGTTCCGATTATTTTGAAAAAGCTCGAAAGACAGCGGGGTATACAAAGTGAAGAGCGACGGGGAGCCCGATCTGATCAATCTGTGATCTTGGCGGAAGCATTTGCGATGGCAGGGAGATCGCCGTGGAAGCCAATGGAAAACGTCGGCGTTGCGCGCGTGCGTCGGTGTCAAAGTCGCGAATCGGCGCAGGACGTCGCCATCAGCTGTGACGTCCCCTGACACTTGCGCTAGGCTCGTTATGAAAATCCAAATCTTATCAGACTGTATGCGCCCCGGACGCGTGTATATATACGACGCTGCAAACGCCTGCTGCTCGCCAGTCGCCCGCCGCCAGTCGCCCGCCGCCCGTCGCCGCCATGTCTCTCACGCTCTCCCTCGACGACCTCGCCCGCTTCCAGCTCCTCGTCGGCCTCTCCCCCGACGACGGCTCCTGCACCTTCAGCATCAAGTCCCAGCAGCAGCGCCACGTCCCCCCTCAGCTCGTCGGCCTCGGCATCTCCATCAACTTCCACACCGTCTCCACCGACAACGGCACCTGCCTCGCCGTCTCCACCACCTTCCCGTCGACCAGCACGACTTCGCAGCAGGACCACAGCGATTGTAAGAGTCTCGCTCCGGCATGCCGACAACTCTGGTCTGACTTTGCTCAAGCGTCACCCCAGCCATCCTCGTCCAACACCTACGCGTGTGAGGTCGGCGTCGCCAGTAAGTGTCTTCACTCTGGGGTGAAAGGCAGGCATTGACGCGTGGCACCAGGCGACATGGGCATGCCTGAAGGCCAGGTGTGGCCAGCAGAGTGGACCAAACTTGGCGCCGTCGACGACTTTGCCGCCGCATGCGCAGGCAACGCCCCATCCTCCCTCGACGGCTCCTACTTTGATATCACAAACCTCGCCAACATGCAGTACACCGGTAAGTCCTGCCGTCCCTTGCCTGGACTGCCGCATCGCTCACTCGGGCCCCAGGGGCGGACTTTACGAGTGTCCCTGAAAAAACGCAGGAGCCCGAGCCAGTCGAGTCGGTCCTCACCTCCCCGCTCTCCAGCCTCGGCCCCTCGTCGTCCTCTTCCTCCTCCTCCTACCCCAACTCCCTCTCCGACCTTTCCGAGCAACTCCTCAGCCCCACCACGACCGTCTCCAGCCGCTACAGCCCGCCCCTGGGCCCCCAGTTCGACGACTTTGCCAACTACAGCGCCGCCTCGTGCCCGCCGACGTCGCCCGAGCCGACCGAGAGCGAGGGCACCGCGCAGACGCTGGGCAAGACGCAGCGCGTGCGGCGGCACCCGTGCCTGCACCCGGGCTGCACGCGCAAGTTCACGAGCGAGTACACGCGGCGCGTGCACATGGAGGCGCACAAGCCCAAGGTGCGCAAGTGCGTGCCGTGCACGATGGAGGGCTGCAAGGAGGTCTTCTCGCGCCGCCACGACCGCCTCCGCCACGAGGTCTCGCAGCACGGCAAGGTGTGCGAGTGGCTCTGCAAGGAGTGCAGCCGCTTTTTCTCGAGCCAGCGCCGCCTCGAGAACCACAAGTGCCGCGGGAGCATCAACGCCGTCTCGCGCTGGCCCATCCTCCCGCAAAACAACATCGCCCCGCCGTCGCAAAACAACGTCCCGCCGCAAAACAACGCCCAGGGCGTCCGCGCTGGTTAGATTTTCCTTTTTTTTGCTGCTTCTTCGCTTTCTTCTGGGACTCGTCACTTTGTTATCGTTGCTTGTTATCTTTGCTGATCTAGACTTGTTGCCCTCGTATCTGCATCTGACGGTCAGGCTTTCTTATTTATTGCTATGTTATATGCAATGTAAAATGTCACATATGGCGCTTAGCGATAGTACCGTGTACGTATCTTGTATGACAAAATGCAGTTTGTGTATGCCCCGCGACGATCAGGGAATTCTCGAAGCCTGCGTTCCTCGGTGGCTGATGCTGATGGCTTCTTTCAGGGCGGGTGGAGCGAAGCTCTCAATTAATGTGGGAATCCTCGCGTGGCGACAAAGTTGACCTTTGATCGAGAGAGCAATCCACAACGGCCACAAAATACTCGTCGGCGGCGGCCTGGCCATCTGTTGCGTCGGCCACATCCATCGCTCTGGCTGCTCGCACACTCTGATAGGCCGGCGTCGACTGATCCTAGCCATTCGGTACCACATTCCACAGTCCACAGTCCACAACCCCGTCCGCCGCTTCTACAATTGTCCCAGATGGAAATGTCAATGGCAGTCGTCATACCATTGCAAAGACCAAATTGATGGCTTCTCGGTGAGCCTCCGGGTCCACGGACATCACATGCGCTGGCGGCGTGCAAACTCGTAAGTCTGTCGGGGTAAGCACGCACCGGCCCCGGATCGATGCAAGTCCTGTAAGTACACACGCTCACGCAAAGTCAAACGCGCACTCTCCACGTTCTAGATATTTCGATTGTCATGCTCGGAGGTACGGCACTGCCGCCGGGTTCTCGTCCGTTGATGCCCACGTTGTTGCCAGTGTGTGCACCTGCGCACCAGGCCCTCGGGGCCATCGCCATAAACGTATCCTGCTGCGCAAATCATTACCGCTTTTGCACGCATTGGCGCATCTAATCTCGCCTATGGGGGCGGGCCCTGTTGCATCCTGCGATACCAGCTCAGTTGGATCCGGCTTGGATTCTTGCTCGATGCCACACACCTGATTCTTCAAGAACATCGTACCCTCCTTCTGGCTACCTTCGCGCTGGCTCTAACTCTGATCTCGGCCAAGCAAGGTTAGCGAAACGAGGCTCGGTTGCTCGCCATCGCTGGGCTCTGCCAGACTTCTGATGATGTCGCCTCATCCTCCCGGCGGCCGAGTCTTTTGCAAGGGACTCGTGCATGATGTCACGTTGTCAAGTCCCTCTTCACCCTCGGCAAGGATGATCTGCAATTGCGACCGCGGCATGCCACAAGCATGGTCGGTGAGCACATACTCGATCAGCGCCCATACTTATCCGAACCAACTCATTGGCTTACAAGCCTTGACAAATTCCCAAATTTCGTAGGGAACGTCAGAACTTTGTCCACAATCGCCTACGCTTAGCCTTTCGTAGAATTCGAGCTCTCAGGCAAGATCCACCGCTATTCAATAGACTGTAAGCGCTCGTCACTTCGCTTTGCTCATTGTCCATGGATGACATGCTATACATGTTCAAGCGCGTGTCTAGCACAGCCTCGATTCACTTGGAGCAATAAACAAGATCCAGAATATTGACCCACAAATCATGCCGTCAGGCGGAGGTTGATGTGGGTCACTACAAGTTCACGCAAACAACTTGTCATAAAGACTTCTTCCGAATGCAAAGAGCGCTCTCTCGTGCTTTCTAGAGAGTGCTTGGCTGCCTGGGGACTTCGTCCAACAAACGCAGGTCCTCTAACTATCACCGGCGTACGTAGCCAAGCACGCTCTGACGTACCCGGCACAGCACCGTGCTGCACAAACTAACCGCATCATAGAATAGCCCAACGACGGGACGAGAAATGTCCTGCCAGTGCTGCGGCACGCCCCAGGGAATCCTTTTCCCTGCCCGGTCGTAGCATTCGTAGTCCCCCCATGCCGGCCGGCGCAGGTACCACCAGAACGCGAGCCACGGGTCCGGGAACGTCGATATCACCTTGCCGGACTGGTCGGGCCCCGCGCGGAACCAGGACTTGCACCGCATAAGTGGGGACGAGGGGGAGGAAAGCTGGGACTGAATGTACGTGTTGTACGCATCGCACGCCTCCTGGGTGACTGTGATTCTTGATAGATGCCCGTCGAGTATCGGCGAGATCAGTTGTAAAATGTAGCCGACCTACAGAGAACAGAGATAATGACAGTTTGTGAGTAACAAAGATATGTGGCGAGCCGGTGGCTTGATTTACTTGAGTTTCGACGGTACAGACGACCGATCCATGTCCCATCACAGTATTCGGGCCTACGAATCCGATCGTTCAGAGAGAAGATGTGGCAAGCGCCGCACGCGACCCCACTCACCGTATACGAAGAAAAAGTTTGGAAAGGTAGGTACCGACGTTCCGATGTAGGCAGTAGGACCGCCTTGCGCATCAAAGAACTCTTGTATTGACCCATTTGTGCCGACAACTCTCACGGCGTAATGCGACTATGGAAACGGATGTAGAGGAGGCGACAGCTCGTAAGTCGGGTACGTACCACCTTGAATCCAGTTGCAAATATGATAATGTCCACCGGCACTCGTTCACCTGGGACGATCATCTCCGGTCAACATTTACGAGCAGTGTGGCAGCCCAGGGCCGGCCATCGCACCTTTACCAGTGACCACGCCTTCGCTATACAGTGCTTTGAATCCGTCCCAGTTCAGTTCGACGTTATCGCGCTTGAGGCTGTCGAGGTACCCGACGTCGACAATGTACCGCTTGCAGCCGATGGCTAGCGGTGATATCACGCAATGAAGCAAACGGTCATGAGGCATTACGCCTGCCTAGACAGCAGCCCAATGAGGACTCACGAAAGTCGGGCACTATCCTCTCATGATACTTCTTGGGCGCTCGTGCTAAGATGTAGTCCTTCGCTGCCTAAAGTTGCCGTGCCGTGAGTGGGTCCTGTGCCTGATCATCAAGGCCTCGGGCATACCTGGATAGAAACCCGATTGAAGGACGTATACTTCCTCAGAGCAAACAGCAGATCATCCTGTTACAGAATACCGCGGAGCGGTCAGCTGAGCAGCCACACCTTTTGCACGCTTCTCACCCTGAACGCCAAGTAATAGTAATGAACACGCATGGCGAATTGGAAATGAGCAAATATCCATCGCGTGATGCTGTGGTACGTAGGATTTGGCTTAGGGAATCCCAGTCAGTCACGTCTTGATGGATTATTAGTGGTCCCAACCCTTACCAACGAGATAAACCAATTGGGCGACCTACAGAAGTTGATCACCTTGACTGTCGGGTCTTTCGAAATAATCGGAATGAACTGGGCCCTACGTCGCACATTGAACTTGAGTGAGCGGATATCGTTACGCATACGACGGCTCGGATTGCTCACGCAGAAGCAGCGTTGCCAACTACACCGACTGTCTTGCCGTGGAGCGGTGTTGCCTCCCCCCACCTTGAAGAATGCCACATAGGGCCCTTGAAAGTTCGCAGAGACGGACTTAGCTTTAACTCCTCCTCCACGCCGGGGGGATAGGCAGGTTCACTCAGCAACCCAACGGCGGATATCACGATCTTGGCGAAACATTCGGTTTCGTTACCTGCCATATCCCGTGCTTTGACGCAGTACATATCCCGCTGGGAGTCCCATTTGGCTGACACGACCTCCGTACCAAACGAAATCTTTTCCAAAAGGGAATATTTGTGAGTCAGCTTTCTCCAATACGCTTCGATTTGGGGCTGGTATCCGAGGACACTGGGCCAGTTGGGATCGAGGTCCGAATATAGGGAATACCAGTGGATCGGAATATCGGAAGAGCAGCCCTATCATGCCTATGGATGAGTCGACTCACTCGAACAGCTGTATAAATGAGCTACTTACAGGATAGCAGTTATCCTTCACGTACGTTCAAGTTATAACTTGCTTCTTTAATGCCTGACAGACTAACGCACCCTCCAAGTCCCTCCCACGTCGTCGGCTCTTTCGAAGATCTGCGCAGGTAGTAGGCACATGTTGCATCAGGTCCGTAAAACGTCTCACTTTGAAGTCCTCAAGCCGCAGCTGTCTTTTCAGAGCGATAGCGAAGGTTAACCCCCCTATGCTGATAGATAAATCTCAGCATCGACCGTTCTTCATAGACGCTTGGTGGACTCACCCGGCTCCTATGATCACTACAGACACGCTCGGCGTCTTGGTCATCTTGGAGCGTTAGACCGTTTCCTCCGACGTGGACCACCATGGCCCCTCCTATGTACTGTCCCTAGGACGTGGGTATTCGAAGCATACTTACGTTCACAGTACGCAAGCCAGCTTTATCTGGGAACGTAAGCATGACGGACGGAGCACTCGGAAGTCTTACAGCAACCGTGTCGGTGGACCGAGCCGCATTGGCCGTTAAGGCCCTCCTACTCATTTTGGCGCTTACTTCGGCACTGAGGCTTCGATGACAGCAGTCCCGTGTATGTCCTTTCCGTCACAGGTAGTGCGTATTCCTCGACCCAAGGCTCGTGTGATTGGGAAAGTGCGCATGCTATGAATTTACTCCGAACTATCTCCACGGGTCGAACAGTACTTTCCCGCATTTTCCTTTGTCGAAGAGCTCGTAGCTTTCCGCAGCTTGATCAAAGCCCACGACCTTCTCTACTAGGCTCGCGGCTCCGCCAACTCCACCAAAGACGTCTTGACGCTTCAACAGAACCTCGAGCGTTATCGGAAAAATGGCGCGCACAGGACATCTGCCGAACTCGAACGAGACGTTCTTGTTGTACACATCTCTTCCGGTAAAAGGTAGTTGCGGGCCTTGGTGCACACCCACGGAGCTGATTACACCGAAAGGTCGCACAAGCTCGTAGGCGAGGGTGAGAGCGCTGTTATTACCCACAATCTAGGAGCACATGCTGAGCCAAACAATAATAACCTGGGAAGGGGAGACCGGACGAATACCTCTAGAACGGCGTTACAGCCAGTGCCGTTTGTCCATTGATGTACTGTTTTCTTGCCATCCTCGATGGAGGCGACTTCGAAGGTTCCCCGCCCTCGGTCTCTGGCGTCGACAGCTCTATATACTTCTTTGATCTTTTTGCGCCTTTCTTCAATTGGGTCTATGGCGACTATCTTAAATGCGACGTCGGATTTTGCGAGAAGATCCAACAGCGAGACTATAGTGCACTGGAGGGAAATTTTAGCAGGTCTCCGCGCGTCATAATGGGCCCTGGCGTACCACTCCTACGGGTCCCAACCCAACTACGGCCAAGGTCAGGACCTTATCTTCATCGCGGATCAGGGATTGAGGGAGTTCAATGCCACTACTTTTAAGTATAGATGCCAATGGTTGGGAGCTGAAGGGATACGGCTGTGACGTGAAGAACGGCAGCAACTTTGGATGCTGCAATGCTTGCAATGCCGCAAATGCACCAGTCGGTAGGATATCTCCTAAGAGAATCAGGGAAGTATCTGAGATCTGGGAAGTCTGCCCTTCGATCTTGAACAGTGTACCCCCTGCTTTGGGGACTCGTACATACTGTGCCTGTCCACCGGGTAGAGCGGGGATGCCGAACAGCTGCGAATGTATGCAACGGCAGGTAGAACCCACGCGACAGAAACTTGAGGGACATTACTTAGGTAAGCCGTCGCGTTCGCAAGATGGTTGACGTACTGGCACTCTCCACAAGACACTGTGAAAGGCGAGACAACTTTATCGCCTAAGCGCAAGGACGAATACAGTGGAGGCCGCCCGGATGACTCGGGCGTGAAGCTGGACCCTAATGCCACAACTTCGCCGACGAACTCATGCCCACATATCAATCTGTAAATTGACATTTCAGCTTCCAAGCTTGGAGTCAACCAGCGAAAGATCTTACGGTGCATCGACGTCTTCATGTCCCCGGTATACATGAAGATCGCTGCCACAGAGTCCGCCTAGCTATAAAGAAAATACGCGAGTTATCGAACTGCATGCCGATTCCCGGAATGCCTTACTTTGATCTTGACGATTGCATCGTCAGGGTGTTCAATGCTGCGTCCTCGTCAGCTCTGGCTGGTCATCCGTCAATGCTTCGTACCTTGGGAGTGGGACGGCTTCCACACGGATATCATATGCAGGAGGGTACCACCGAATAGCGGTTTGGCTACCTGCTGATGTGTACGTTTGGGTCATCTTCGCGGCAGGAATCCAAACTTCACCAGCCCGCTGTAATGGACGGGAATATTAACAGAAGCAGACTCTGTTACTCGGGCCGCAGCGATCGAGCAGCAGATCCCCTAATCTTTTCGACAGACTCGCATCAAGGTTCACCTGCCCGGTCCGTAGGTCCGATAATGAAGTTGCGGGGCTCCGCAATACGAGCATGAAGAGCTATTGAAACCGCGTAAGTTTCCACTGTGTCGGGCAACAGAGTAGGTACAGTCGCAGTCAGCCTTTAGGCCTCGAATTTCGTTCTCTGGTCAACCCTTAGAGTGGAGCACTGCTCTACGTCCTTTGCAAAGAAGTCATGGGGCACGATATACAACTGATGGCTATTCAAGTGCTGCCAATATTTGAGTCGAGTTCGTAATCCATCCGTCACCTTCAAATAATCAGGACCAGGATCAGGAAGAGCCGGCACATCCGCCAATCAGACGCACCTGCTCCGTTATACAAGGTCATCTGGGTGGCGTATTCTGGCGACGTTGTGGCAGACATGTCTTCAACCAGAATGACATCGTATCCCTAAGGAACGTCAGTTCACTATGGTCTCTGTATACTTGGTAGAGGCTCACTCGATAATACGCATCAAGGAGAGTTCCCCATACACACCTACGAGTAGCAAGATCAGCGAGTGTCAAGGCACATCGGGTCGGTTCTCCTACTGGTCAATGTTGACTCCACTGAAGAAGAGCGTTGTCAACGAGTTGTCCTCAAGGAATATGCTCAAGGGCGTCTCAGCGCGCCCGTTGATACCGCTCAGACGGTCTGAAGGAAACTTGTCTTGTTACTGTGGGGTGCAGACGAGCGATGAAGACCCATGCTCACTCTTATTAAAGAAGAAATCGGTACCAAAGGCAAGACCCGCTTGCTGGAGGGGCCATAGGTCCCCATACGCCTGGGCATTCCAAGAGTCCCTCATAAGCAAGGGCCCCAAGTGCGTGCCGTCCGAAAGCGTGCCCATGTCGGATCCGAACGTCGAGTTGGGCGTACCGTCGCTCGCGAACCCGTACAATAGCGATGGGGGCATGCCGAGGATGTCGTTCGGGGTGAGGCCCCACTGAATATTCGGAGGTTCACATGGTGTGGAGTGTCCGAGCAATCCACGTACCTGCACCCAGAGGATCTTGACTCCCGCTTTCCGGAGAGCAAGCACTGTCTCGACTGTAGGGGCGACTGCAGCTCGCCCGGCAGTCGCAGACGGAGAAAGCTCCGGATGCAGGAAAAAGTCTGAAGCGACCAAGTTCATAAGCGAACCATCCGATCAAGGTCCAATACGCACTTTGCATGTCCACGATAACCATGCCGGTCTTTGCTAGGTCGATGACGATGGACGAGTTGCCCTTGCTGCTCGTCTGGATCGTGATGCTGCCGTTGGAGCTGCCGCGGGTGAGGTCGAACGTGGAACCGTTCTTGATCCAGTAGTTGTAATAGTTCCCCCAGACGGTGGTTTCGGCAGCAGCAACCAGAGCGAAGGCTCCAAAGACGGAGAGGCTCAAGAGCTCAAGCAGAACATGCATCTTCGTTGCTGAGCGCTGAGCTGCGAGCTTGATGGATCGGTCAAACGAGCAGACTTCGTTGCCGCTTAAGAGATGCGAAGGCTTGACGTTGACCGCGATAAATCCGACTTTATGGTATATTGTGTAGAGATAGGAAGGTCGGTCCGTCCATAATTACCCAGTGAATGCAGATGCAACCGCATATCCTGCTTCGTTATCGCCAGTGCTCACGATGAGCAAGGGCAGGCAGGAATAGTCTCGGAAAGCAAGAAGGTCAGTAGAAAATAACGATCGAAAGGTGCCGAAGCTTATCAGGACCGTGTCGTAAGGCAGCCGGCGGCAGAGTCGACTGGCAGGCTCGCAAAATGGAGCTGACAACTTTCTGTATGCATTCGATCCGTCCACGCCTATGGTATAATAAATACATGGAGTGCTGAATATCGGGATACAGTCGTAAGATAGCGAATCAAAGGAAAAGACAAAACGAAAAAAAAGTCCGTACTATCAGCAAGTCGTCGACATCCCCTACCCACCCATCCACCCCCCTCACATGATCACACAATCCTTATCATCCAACTTCTTACTCTGGAAGCCCATCTCCTCAAACGTCGCGGGGCCCTTTGCCGGGCGTGGCCTGGGGCTCTCGCCCGCACTGGGTTCCGGGAGGGGCGCGCCGCCGGACGGTATCCTCTGCGCAGGCGGGCGGCCCGCGGGCGACTGCTGGCGCGCGGGGCTCTGCGCCCTGCGCGGGTCCGCGCCGGGGTCCGTGAGTGTGTAGCGCTGCGCCTGCGGGTGCGCGCGCTGCGGCTGGGGCCGCGGGGTCGCCACGCCCGTCTGCGTCGCGAGCGTCGGGTGCTGCTGCTGCTGCTGTTGTTGCTGCTGCTGCGGAATCGCGGGCCCCTGCGCGACCGAGTTCTTGCGGATGACGTCGACGACGCGCTGGCTGTGCCCCGCGGCCGGCGGCGGGAGGGGCGGCTGCGCGCCCGGGCGCGCGTCGGAGCGCTGCTTCGCCTGGGTGCGCTTGCGGACGAGCTGGCTCTCGGTGAGCGCGTCGTGCTCCTGGCGGGAGAGCGCCTGCGGGGCGGGCTGGCTGAGCGCGGCGAGGCGCTCGGCCGCGTCGGCGTTGCCGTGCTGCGAGGCCTGGGGGATGGGTGTGAGAGAGGCAGTGCGAGTAGATTGCCAGGGGGGCGACTCACCCTGGTGTACCACTTCCTGGCAGCGTCGATGTCCTTGGGCCCGCCGACGCCGACCTCGGCATAGTAGCCCATGGCAAACTCGGCGCTCGGGAGGCCCCTGCGCGCGGCCTTTTCGGCAAAGGTGTACGCGAGCGCCTCGTCCTTTTCAAAGCAGCCCTCGGCGCCGCAGAGGAACCATTTGCTGAGGGCCATGTCGGCCTCGATCTCGCCCTGCTGGCTGGCGAGGGAATAGTACTGCACGCTGAGCAGCGGGTCGTACGGGAAGGGCGGCTGCGCGTACTCGTACGCGTGGCCGAGCTTGTACTGGGCGGGCGCAAAGTTGAGGTAGGCGGCGCGCTCGAGGTGGCGGCGCGCCTCGGCGTGGAGGGACGAGCCGGGGGGGATGAGCGGGGTGAAGAGGTAGGGCGGGATCTGGACGTGCGCGAACTCGGAGAGGAGGAGGAGGCCGTAGACGTAGGCGGGCTGGGGGACGTCGGTGCTCGCGAGCGTGGCGGCTTTCTGGAGCAGGGGGAGCGCGAGCTCGGGTTTGGGCGGGAGGCCGAGCTGGCCCATGAGATGCGCCATGCCCATGCGCTGGGTGCGTTAGTGAGAGGAGCATGGATAGTAACAGGCGACTCACGTATAAGCAGCTCTCGACGCCGAGCTTGACGCCGCGCTCGAAGCAGTCCTTGGCGTGCTGGAGGTCGTTAAAGTTTTCATAGTCGCGCCCGAGCTTGAACCACGCGGCGGCGTACCCGCTCCTGGCGGCCTGCTCGAAATCGCGAAAGGCGGCGCGGGGGTTGTGCGGGCAGTACTGCGGGTACGCGCCGGTGGCCTGGATGGTGGCGCGGAGGTAGACGGCCTCGGCGACGTGGCGCGGCATGGGGCTCTGCTGGTGCTGCTGCTGCTGGGTGGCGGCGGCGATCTGGAGGAGCATGGGGACGGCGAGGTCGGCGAGGCGCTGGAGCTGTGCGTCGGCGATGTGGGCGGGGCCGACGGGGGCGTCGGCGCCGGCGTGGTGGACGCGGTCGACGAGGGCGAGGACGTCCTTGCACCAGGAGACGCGGGCGGCGGGGTCTGCGTCGGGGCGCTGGACGGAGGGGAGGACGGCGGCGAGGGAGGCGGTGGTGGGGAGGGGCGCGGTGAGCGAGGGGACGCCGGCCTGGGCGCGGGGCGGAGAGGGTGGTTTTGCAGGCGGACCGTAGGTGGAGTAGACGGAGGTGGCGCGCGGGGGGTGGGTTGGATGCTGCGGGGCGTCAAAGGAGAGGGCGGCCATGGAGGACGAGAGGGAGTTGACGCTGGGGGTTTGGTTCGGCGGGGGCGGGGGCGAGCCCGGGTAGGGCAGCGCTGGCGGTGGCGGGGAGACGGACGGGTTCCAGCCGGACCATTGGGCGTTGTTGGGAGGCGGGGGCGGGGGAGCCGGGCTGGGACCGCGGGCCTGCGACGGGACAGCAAAGCCGGGGGCGAGGTTGATGCTGCCGGGCGGGGGCGGGGGCGCTGGCGGGTGGGGCGTGTGGCGGTAGTAGTCGTGCTGGGGCATGGCGCGGACGGACGGGAACGGCGGCGGCGAGAGCTGCTCGTCGAGGGTGCGAGCCATCTGCGCGATCTGGTCAGATAAGGGGCGTGAGACTCACGGTTACGCACGTTTGCTGGCACGTCTGGGTCAGCTCTGGTCGGGCGCGGGGCTGCCAAGGGCGCCTCAAAGTGCGGCGGGGATTCGTCGCTGGACGGGCGGAAGTTGGGCGGCAACGGGGGCACCGGCGGCGGCGTGTCGTGGTCAGCGGCGGAGGACGGGCGAGGAGGGACCGGCGGGGCAGCAGCCATGCAGTTGAACGTTGAGTCGTGACTGGCCTCAATTAATCCATCGGCGCTGTACAGCATCCACAGCCACAGCCGTGCGCAGCCATTCCCGCTTCTCACCGTCTGCCGCTCTTTTCTTAGCGATAGTTTCACCGTCAGTCGACCAGGCTGTTCATGCAACAACGTCTAACGCGTCGTTACCGGCCGTCGCAGCAAGTGACCTGCCAACCCCGCGCTGCCCAATGCTCGTCCCTACCAGACATCGACATCCATAGACGCGTCGAGATCTCTCCTTGTTTGATTCACCCTGGTCCAGCCCGAACCGTCTCGCGCCTTCCGGTCGCACACCTCATGGCTTGTTACAATCGTTTTGTGCAGCTTCGCTCGATTGCTCCCTATCTCCCGACGCTTGTCAGGGGCTGTTGCCGTTGAGGTCTCGTATCTTGTACAAGTCCTCTTCCACGGCATTTGCTACGAGCCCCTGTGCTGATGCTCCCGTGAACTCATCTGCACGATTGCAAGCAGTATCCCTCGTGCTTGTAGTGTATCTGCTTTCCATCCAGCAATCTCATGGATACGGCCTCCGTCGTATAGACAAAAATATATACATCTTTGTTCTACCTCCATATGTGAATAAGAAACCCACCAGAAACATGCTTTAGAGAAGGGCGGATAACATAATATCTTAAATATTCTTTCGAGAATGAAAGTAAATGGAATTAACGGGAGCGTCTACCGCTCATCTATCTCTATTCGGTCCCTCACGCGAGGAACCCAATCTCCTTCCAATGCTGCACCCACTTCCTCACCACCCCCCGGCTCACCGGCGGCGCAGCCCTTATACTAGGCACGACCTTCCCCGTCTCCTCCGTGCTGAACACCATCCCGCGCTTCACCCCGCCCTCGTACCTCTTCCTGAAGAACGGCTGCAACAACACCGATCAGCCCTGCCCACGCCTCGCTTGCACAAAGCGGACACCCACCAACAACTTGATAACCGGATTCCTCTCCGGGTCCCTCTCGCTCCCCGCGAGCCTCTCCAGCCACTCCTCCGTGCCCACCGCTTCGAAGCGCACGCCCGCGTCGCGCAGCGCAGCCAGGATGTCGTCCCACGACGCCGACGTGTCCGGGTTCACGATGTGGTACACCACCGCCTTCGGCGCGTCCGCGCGCAGCACTATCTCCGCGACCGCGCGCCCGGCGTAGTCGACCGGCAGCCACGAGGGGTGCTGGGGGATGTGAGATAAAAGGGGCGCGAGGGAAGTGGTGACGCGTACCTCGTCCGTGCGCGGGAGGTACCCGACCGTGTTCGCGCCCTTGAACATCAGCGGCCACGCCTCCGTCTCGTTCCAGACGCCGCTACGCAAGTAACGTGTCAGTCTCTCCTGCTCCTCCGAGGAAGAAAGAAACCACACACTTGACCGTATCCCCCACCATCTGCCCGATCCTCAGCACGCCGACGCGCACCGCCGTGTCGCGCGCCGCGCGCTCGCACAGCTTCTCCGCGACCCACTTGCTGCGCGCGTACCCCGTCCCCGCGGCCGTGCCCGGCTCGGGCGGGAAGTCCTCGGGGCACACCGCCTCGCGCCCCCCCTGCCGGCAGCTGATCGAGGAGCTAAAGTAGAAGGACGCGGGCTGCGCGCGCGGCGAGCGCAGGCAGAGGTTGAGCAGGTTGAGCGCGCCGCCGACGTGCGCGTCGTACGACTCGATGCTCAGGTTGAAGTTGACCGGCCACGCGTTCTGGACGTGAGGTAAGAAGTAAAGTCCAGGAATTGGAGTGGCGGGCAGACTTACGTGGATGACATCTGTTGCTTCCCGCCGTGTCTGCTCATACTCCTCTTCGCTGAGACCGAGGTGATCCTCGCTCGTGTTGGCAGCATATGAGACGATTTTGCTCTCATCGTGTAGTGACAGCTTGCGCGTCCGCAACGACTCGCGGATCCGCTCCAACGAATCCGCATGTGACTTGGCACGAGATAGACAGATCACTTTCATGACAGACGGTGAGGCCACGAGCTGCGCAAGGATGTGTGCGCCCAAGGAGCCAGTGGCACCAGTCAGGACCTTTCAGACGTACGTGAGTCTACGCGTAAGCTGATAAGCAGCGCAGGAACTCACTACAACACGAGAATCGTCCGAAGACGAAACGTCGCCTTCGGGTCTGTGGGATTCTAGTCTACTTGCCCACTTCTCGACCATGTCGAGCATCACCCGGTGTTGCTGTTCGTCCGACTTGGCGACATCCCCGCCGGATTGCAGAGCTAGTATGTGATCGGCAAGCCTGATGATACACCGGTCAGACGCGAACGATGACGCATGATGACAAAACAGTACTTCTCAACCGAAGGATATTCGTAGATCACTGCCAACCGTAATCAGCACATGCGCTGTAAGAGTATATAGTACAATAGAAAGCACACCATTCTGCCCGAGGGCCTTGTCCCCAAACTCAAGAGCTTGTTGGAGTGTATTTCGGATACGAATACCTTGCAGCGAATCGACACCGAACTCGAACAAGTCGACTGTCTTGTTCAATTTTGCCGACTTTGACGGGCCGAGGGTTTTCGCAATCGTCTCCAGGATAAAGTCCTCGAGTTCCGCCCGGGGAAGTACGACCTTCTCTTTCCCCGAACCCCGTTCAAAGCGGTCGTATATTTCATCTGAAGGTCAGATGGATTACATCAGTCGGCTCTTCCGCTACCCGCGTCGAGGAGCGAATGACGTACCAATGAGGTCCTTGAACTTGGCGTAGCACGCCGGCCGGAGGATGCTCATCTTCGTCGCGACGGGGATTTCGGTGCCGTACGGGAGGAACTCGACCATTTCCGGCAGTAGTCTTGAGTGCGTCGGGGCTGCAGAGTTGGCGAGCTCGATGATGGGCCAGACCTTCTCCATCAGCTCGGCGCGCGAGAGGTCCTTGCCCAGCTCGGAGGGTAAGATGAGGCATCCTGTTTGAGGTCTTCCAGCGCCGAAGACGATTACTGGAAAGATTTCCGGTGAATAGGCATGTTCGCCAAGCAGGACTGGCGCGTTTACCTTCTTGGACATAGGGACTGTTCCCTCGAATGCAAAGCTCGATTGGGACTATGCGAATCAATTAGACAGTGAGACGAAGTCCAGAAGCTTGGAACGCACCCGGGTTCGTCTTCTCTCCAAGGGTTTGTACAAGGGTATCATCCAGACGCCCGACGTATTTGTACCAACCTGCATGCTCCGGGTGTCGTGTAACCAAGTCCTTCGTCGCATACGAACCATCCGGCCTGTTGGTCTCGATCTACACGAGCTCTTGCCTCAGTGCCACAACATAGCCAGGAGGGGCGTGTGCATACCTTGGGCGGGTACCCGTCCTTGACGACGACCTCGAAGGTGTCATCCCCGCGCGGCTCGAACTCGACGTATGGCGCGCTCTGGGGGAGGGGGCGGACCCAGTTCCACGCCTTGTCCGTGTCAAAGTCGCGGTTCGAGTTCATCAAGGTGCCGGTCTACGGGTGGACGATGGAGTCGTCAGACCGAAGATTACGGGTAGGAGGTGCTGTAGACGTACTTCTGTCAGACCATATATACTGAGCAGCTTCACTCCTGCCTCCGTCAAGCGGTCGCCCAGATCATCCTATGGAACCATAAGGTCAAGCGCATGCGCAAGTCCTGTAGGGAGAGAGCGGCTCACTGGGAGTGCAGCGCCGGCGTAGCTGACGGTGTCGAAAGCTGCGAGTTTCTTCACGCCTTCGGGGTTCTCACCCATTAACTGCAAGCAATACAAGAGGTCAGGAAATGCGAATGTTATTGGAAACCAACATACCTTTATCACATACGGCACCGCGAAACATTGGCGGACGGGCGGGGAGGCATCGATGACCGCGCAGATGTTTGCGCACGTCAAAGGTAGATGGGGCGGGAAAAGTGTGAACGGCTGTCCAGAGTACAGGCAGCGAAACCTAGCATGCGGTAGTGAGAATGGCTCCAAGAGAACCGCTCGAGACGTGACTTACGTGGCGAAATGACCGTAGCCATGGAAGACGGGAAGAGTACTGAACCCGGGCTTATTCTGATTAAGGGATGCGTTGGCGATCAAACCATAATGTGTAATATAGCAAGGCTTCGGAAAACCCGTCTGGGAGAAACAAAATATTGAGACCCGACTGATAATACGGCAGCCGTAGTGAGCACTGACCGATCCAGACGAGTGCAAAATGACACCAGTTCTGCTCTTCTCTTCCTCGGGGCGGACCACGGCCGGAAATGCCTTCACTTCTGCAGCGGCGATCCCGTCGGGACCCCACAGCGGAAACCTCTGGTCCGGTACGATTCCGACCTGATATCCCTCTGCCTCGAGCTGCTGCTGGGCGTCCTGAGCTTCTTGGGAGAACTTCGGGCCATAGATAAGGTGGGTTGCGTTCGTCTTCTTAATCAGATGAGCTATTGCGGCGACGGAGTTATTCACGGAGAGGAGGAGGGCGGTGAGGCCAAGGGTGGCAAGTGCTATTTCTAGGAAAGTCTCGTCGATAGCCGTCGAGACGAGCACGGCGATGACTCTGGAAGGCGGGGTCGTCCCTGGTGCTGCTTGGGGTTGGAGATTGAGGTCGGCATAGTGCCAGGCCAGTCGATGAACGGCCTTCTCTATATCACGATAGCTAGACAAGGGAACGTGAGTACAGGGGTGTATTCATCAGTATAAGCGCGACGACGTACGTTAATGGCTGAAGGAGGGCTTTAGACTCTGGGACTCCGGTGTAGATAGCGGGGGTATCGGGCTGCTCTCGAGCGCGCTTCGCGACGAGCTCAGTAATGGAGCGGGCGTAGAAGTCGACGGCGGGCATGGCGGACGAGTGCTGTCAACCACTCTTGCCAGCAGCCACATACTTGTACTCCAGAGTCCATCGCACACAGGATGCAAAGACACGGGTACGCGGACCGTACGCAGCCCACGGGAATAGGGGCAGGATGACTGGTGACTATTCCAGCTTCATGCCGGCCACTTCAGGTATTTTTAGGCAAGTCACAGATGCCAGAATCGCCGGCATCCCGTCTGTAACTGGATCGCGAGTGGTTTGGGTTCAAGGCAGGGCGTTTGTTGTATCCGAGGGCAGTGATATCGATCACAACCCTAACCTTGTGACCACTTCGAAAGTCGCGTGTCTCAGCCAGTCGGCGTCGTCGTTCGAAGCCCGTTGTTCGCAGTCCAGAAAGCGCCAGCTAGACAATGCCTTCAGTACTCCCGTCTCATACTCCAAAAAGGCGAGGTCAGGTGTGGTGCATGACTATTCCCTGACCTGGTTTAGCTATGGCAAATCCGGAGTACGGAAGATTCAAATCTTGTGGGGCCGCGCAATGCGTACTAGCTCGAGAAGGGCGTTCGTCTGCTGACCTCCGAGTCTCGCTTCCGCCATCTGCCCGGCAATAACGTTGGTAAAGATATGACTTCTCTTAGCACAGAAATATCGCGACGGCCGGGCCGCTCTCTCGCGTTCGCATTCTGCTAAAGTGCGGACTTGCAACGGCCGAATTCTGCATCTTGTCCTGGACGTCGCCACCGAAGGGACTATCCATCATGACTGAGAGGGTTCACGTTGCACCCGCTGTCCTTGCTCCCGGCGCTATGGGTGAGGACGTCCGCGTGGAGAAGGAGAAAGAGCAGAGCGTCGAACAGCTCGAAATCGCGCCCGACGACTTGGTTTGGGCTACGCGAGAGGCCGAGGACGTTGAACCGCCCCGGTCGTTCTTTGGCAAGTTTCTCAAGAAGAACCCTTCTCCCCAGTTCCTCGCCGATGTCCAGAAGATGAACACGATCGTGCTCGACCCCGTTCAAGTCAAGCGCATCGAACGCAAAGTGGACGCGCTCATTATCCCGGCTCTTGCAGTCTGCTATGCAGTGAGTTCTCTCTTGTCTTAATGATCTGAATGAACACTGATCTTTGCCCCCTAGTTCTACTACATGTAAGTCATTTCATGCGCATTCGTATTCTCGTCTCAACTCCGCGTTCACAGCGACAAGACCACCCTTTCTTACGCCGCTATTTTCGGACGTAAGTACGCTTTTTGCCGAGGACCCCCGAAATCCTGATGTAGCTTCATGTGTCAGTGAAAAAGGACCTCAAACTTTTGGCGTCTGAATACGTGAGCTATCTCAGTACTTGACACCTCGAATAACATCACTGACACGTCGAAGAGCTGGCTTTCTAGTCTCTTCTACTGTGCGTATTTGTCCTGTGTTTCTCATACGGCTGACCGATAGTGCTCATACAGTCGGCTGGCTTGGATGGGCTCTACCCACGAACATGCTCATGCAGAAGTTCCCACTCAACAAGTATCTGGCGTTCAACGTATGTCCCCGCCTTGCTCTTCGGGACCTCTGAACACATTTCCAGCCATTCAGATATTCATGTGGGGGGTCCTCTTGATGTGTCAAGCCGCAAGCAGGAACTTTACCGAGCTCGCTGTTCTGCGTGTCTTGTCCGGCGCGTTCGAGGCGACCGCGGACCCGGCGTTCCTTCTCATCACTGCGACCTGGTACACAAGGGGTCAGCAGCCGATCCGTATTGGCTGGTGGTACTGGTACGCTTCGTTCGTTGTGCTCGTAACTATCCCGTTTTAATATCATGCTGGTAGTGCGAACGGCCTTGGTATTGCCCTCGGCGGTCTGCTCGGGTACGCGATCGGACATGTAAGTGTCATATTCTGGATGCTTTCCCTTGCGTAGACGAGCTCTCCTCTAGATCAAGGGCGCACTTTCGTCGTGGAAGTATGAATTCCTGATCATCGGCGCTCTCTGCTCCGGATGGTCCATCATTCTGTTTATCTTTGTCCCGGACTCGCCGTACACTACCCACTGGTTCACGAGGCCCGAGCGGCTGATTATTGTCTCGAGGTTTGTTATTGTGGTCGTTAGTTTCAAGCATATATTTACGAGCACTTGCTTACAGGAAACGGAATGATCATCATGGGCCTGAACATCGCCAGTGAGTCTCTCGCAACCATTGTGGCCATAGCTGTGTCTCACCTTGTCTCTGTAGATGGAATGCTTCTCAGGTGCTGGAGGCTTTCATCGACCCGAAGATCTACCTGTTCTTCCTCTTCGGGTTCTTTGCCAATGTCCCCAACGTAAGTTCATGCCTTTGAAACGACGTTCGGTGGATGACGGTTGTCTGCAGGGTGGCACGTCCAACTTCGGCACTCTGATCACGAAAGGGTACGTCACTGCCTTCGTTTTCCGGTTCCTTGGGCTCCCGCTGACTCGCTGTCAGGTTCGGCTTTGGCACGTTGGAGACCACCTTGATGCAGATCCCTTATGGCTTCATCATTGTTCTTTTGTAAGTTATTCTGCTCAAATATCCATCTGATTCTCTCACAGTTATCTCAGCATCCTTGTCGCTATGTATGCAACACAGAGGATGCCCAAGAATACCCGTACTATACTTATGGTCTTGACGAACATTCCGACTGTTGTCGGCTTCGCCATGGTCGCCTGGGCTGAGCCGAAAGTTGCTCGACTCATCGGCTACTGTAGGATCTTAATCCTTCTATGCAACAATGTAGCACACTAACTCGTATCCCAGGGATCACGGGCGCCTCTAATGCAACCTTTGTTGTTGGTCTGTCACTTGTTTCAGGTAATGTTGGTGGTCAGACCAAGAAAGCCCTCGCAAGTGCTGCGGTGTTCTTGGGTGTTGCTACTGGGTGTGTTTCCGCATCTGAGTATGTTCACTTCACTGAATAAATGTCTCATGTCCGGCAGGAATATCGTTGGACCTTTCCTCTTTTTAGACTCAGAGGCTCCTGTCTACACAACCGGGATTATTGGCTGCCTGGTGTCTCGTGCACTTGAGGTGAGCTGGCTTCATTGGCATCTTCTCTTTCTTGATGGACTATGATGCTGCAGATTGTTGTCATTATAATCTTGCGCATCCTCTTTGTGACTGCAAATCAGCGCCGTGACAGGGCTGCTGTTGATGGTAACATGCCAGCAAGAGAGGACCTGGACAACGAGGATATCTCTGACTGGAAGAACCCACACTTCCGCTATGTGGCTGTAAGTCGGGCTTCCCAACTGGCATCTGAAGTGTGTAATTTACTCCCAGGAACAGTGACACTATTGATGTAGTACTGTGGTTTTCATTCACTCTTCTACTGGTCCCCAATACTTTAATGCAGTGATAGCATTGTTCATACTGGAGATGAATCATTATGGTATATACTCATGTTTAAGCATGATTCTAAGATATCTCAATAGTGTCTGGAAGGTCTAAGTGAACTGTGACTGTTCTGATTACGAGTCCTGAGGTATGAAGGATGAGTCCTTATGCTCAAAGTTGAGCACTTTGCCAAACACATGCACCATGGGAACAAAATGCTGAGAAGTTGTGGGAATAAATTTGTGTAGTGGCCCATACAAAGTTAAATGTCCGATCCTATGTCTGCTTGTAGTGGTGACTACAAATTGACTACAAAATCGGGTTTGTAGTGTCTGTTTCGTTTCTGTTTGTCCCTCACTCAGCACTGTTCCACCGAACATTCTGCACTTCTCAGTGTAAGCTTTGGAGCATGTTGTTAGGAAGCGATGTCCTAACTAGTCGTCTTGAGATAACTGGGCCACATGCCAACAGTTATGTCATCACTACCTCAGTAAGCGTACTGAAAGGTAGGTCTGGCCGGGCCAATGCCAACGGTCAAGTCAAGAGTCCAGGTAATCACTGTATTCAACAGGAGGTTGAACTAAGGAATACATAAGGTTGGGCACAGGTGGCGGGTGCCACTGTGGTATTCAACCCGAGGGCTCAGGTGCAGGTACAGTGCGTGAACTGTCCACACCGTGCCATACCGCGACCCACAACGCCGGGCATACAGGTCTGCGGTTCTCATTGAGGGGTCCTATTTTATACCTGAAATGATCAATTTTAGACTTAGAAATCGACTGACCAGTCATTTAGGGAGCATATTAAGACCACTACCAGCCTTGTGAGCAACTTATGTGCAATGGGCGAGGACCCAGCTCACCTGGTAAGCCATTCTCGATGCCTGTGTAGTGGTCCCAGGTGGCCTTGGGCATCGGCCAACAACCCGCGGTCTCGATGGCGGGTTTTAGACCCACACCCGCCGGGGGTATGGAGTATGCGGGTGCGGGTGCGGTGTCACTCTGACCACCTGCGGTGCGACCCGCACCCAACACTAGGAATACATGGGTTTTCCTACAGTATATACAGTAACTGGTATAGGGGTTAATACCTAAAGAAGTGAACAATAAGAAAGGACACATAAGCTATCCTGTGAGAACATAACTCAGAGATATGAGAAGTACAAGGGCACTCATTGGTGGAAGGTGAGTCAGGAGAGATAAGGTGTGAAAAGAGATAGCGTCCATGGGAGGTTCTACTCAGAGAAAGTACTGTCCAATAGCAATGCTCAAAATGGAAATAGAATGAGATAAGCATGGGAAAATTGTAACACATGTAACACGTATACCAGAATATTTTCAAGATTTGTGGATCAGTGTGCCATTTTCCATAGTCAGAGGGCCTTTGTTACCATGGGAATTGACTAGGTGCGGTAGTTGAAGATGCGGTGCTGGGGTCCTCAATGTGCCGGTTGGGATTTGAGCAGTTTGATTGGCTCCCAAATTGATGTGGCACGCTAGTTTGTGTGATGTAGGTACTTGGATGTGCTTTATGGCAATGTCATGCATTCAGAATATTGGATATGTTTGATTCTGACAGATTAGATATTGTATTGTCCTACTAGTGACATTTGCGGTGATTTACATATCTATATCAAATATATATGTATCGGTTGCTTCTTGTTCAGGAAGGGGTTCGCGTAGTCTGATGATTATATGCTTTGTTACTGTGTGACCTTTTATTATTGGTGATTGATTTCTCCATGCCTGGTGTCCCTCTGGTAGGGATTGTGATTGGCTGTGATTACTTGGTCCTGCACTTTGTAGTGCCTTTACTGTTCATTCAGCCGTTCTATCACTCTTGGTTGTGTACTCCTCGTCATGTCTTTATCTTCTGAAGTCCAGATTCCAAAGCTTGATTTTTCCACTGGTCACTTTGACGTCTCCAGGGAATCTCATGCTGTGGTAGTACTTATGAAACAGCTGACTGGTGTTGTCCATCCTCAGGGTCACATTGCTTGTTTCCGGTTGTTCAAGGCTCCTTTCTTGCCCACTGACCCTCATGCCTTTATGGTGGATAGGCCCACTGTTGGGGATCTTTGGTTGTGTACTCAGCCTGGTTCTGAATCTCTCTGGTGTCGAGAGACCGCTCAGATTTGGGTTGAGTGGGATCGTACGGATGTATACACTTTTCATCCTGATCTGCAACTTCAAAAATACAACCTTGTGTTGTCTGGAGCCATGGAATGTACTCATCAGGGTCTTTCTTAGGACCTATCTTCTAAGAAGGCTTCGGTGGAAAAACCCATATCTTATGGTCTATTCACTGGGCGCAGCATGGCCAGGTTGGTTTCCCATTATTTGTCTTTTATATTGCTTCAATCTGTGTGCTAGGCATATCAAACTCCTGCAACTTTAGGTCACTTGGTCACTTGATCCATCTCCAGGACACCCGGCATTGTCAGACCTGCTGTTCATCTGCCGTCTCTTTCGACTTTTGGTGTTGATTTCAGCCTCGATGGTGTACCCAGGTTTTCCAATACTCCTCCGAGTACTTTGACTAGTCTCACTGATTCCGATGTGGAGGATATGGCTGCTCAATTGGATGTTATGGATATGATTGCTGGCGTTGAAGGTGTAGAGTTCCCTGCTGGTACCGGTCAAGTCAAATGGGCCAATGGTATGGTCACTATGGAGCCTTGGATTATGCCTATTGGCAAAGTTGGTCCAGTATGATTTCACCCATCTGGATATGTTATATATATTCATTGTTTTATAGGATGTTTTGGGGGTGCGTGCTATGGCTTCTGCTCAAGATATATCACAAATTGAGTCTAAGGACTCTTTTGTGTATATATGCGATATTCATGATAGGTGTAAGAATGTCGGGGATCCGGCCTTTGAGGATTGCACTGCGGTAGTTCAGCTCATCAAGGATAAGATTTCACGTGGTACTCTGGTGCTTATCCGAGGATTTCCTCTTCCTTCCATTGAATGGGATTTGTCATCTGTAAATCATATGAAGGGCTCTTTGCTTACTCCCCTTTCTATTCAAGGTATAGTATATTTATTCTTGAATGAACATATTCTTACTGCTCTTCCTTTTTAATTTCTATATAGAGGCTAAACTTTGTATGGCCTCTGAAACTTATACCAAGAGTCCTGTTGCTGATCTCCACTTGTAATTGAAACTCGGTGACTTTATAGTAACCACTAGTGATTTCCCGGGCCGGGCTGGGCCTGAAGCCCGCAGGCTTTGAGAAATCAAGGCCTGGGTCAGGCTCGGGCTTCAGCCCGGCATACTGTGACCGGAAAAGGAAATTCAGCTACTTATGTTTGTAGAATGCTTGTGCAATGTGCAGATGCAATTTTCTCGGCCGGTGTAGAGTTTTCTATACAAAAATTGAGGTCAAATATAGAGAATAGAGATATCTACAGCCATTTGTATCAATCAGGGGAACACAAGGAAATCAATATCCCCAGCTCCATGGGTCACTGGATTCCACATCCGACTCCTCTGCATCACTGTCCAAGTCTAATTCCATCGTGAAACCGCTATCTGTGGCACTGGGGGGGATAGAATCTATTAACTTATCTTCCTGGTCTGCTTCTGCCAGAAGCTCCTCCTCAAGGGCTAAAGTTGGTCCCGAGGGCCGGATAAGCAGATCATGTCGCATCGCGCACTTCAACCCTTGCAGCACCTCGACAATGTCAGCCTTAAGTCTATTGCGACGCTTCGTCAGGGTGATGCCAGCCCCAGAGAATGCCCATTCACTGGACACGGAGGAGGCCATAACGGGGAGGTAGTTGCGCGCTAGAGAAGCCCACACAGGATACCGAGCTTGGTTTAGCTGCATGAAGACATTAGTTAGTATGCATGGCGAGTTATGAGGCCACAAAATAGTGAACTCACACCCCACCATGTGGTAATTGTTGTATCCTCCGTTATCTCATCCTCACCGTCGAGATACTTGTTGAATGCTTGTTCCCACGGAGGAGTTGGGCTCGCGCTGGTGTCAGGGGCGGAAGTGGGGTTGGGAGCAGGAGATGTAGAGGGCGAAGACGAGAGCGATGCCATGTCTCCGAGACTAAGCAGGTGGCGTAACTTTTGATTCTTGTTGGACTTCTTGACTGTGGTTATAACACCGCTGGGGTACATCTGAAGATAGCGTTCTTTGAACTGCATTGTGTCAGTAAGGAACTGAATAGAAGGTTAGGCGTCCATACAATTCGCTTGGCTGAAACAAAAACTTCTGCATACAACACTTCTGGCCATGTTTGCTTGATTTGGCTTAACTTTTCCAAAGGGTCAAGCACTGGGACAGGTGTATCAGTAAAAGACAACCGAAAAGCACCAAAAGCGTACCCATGGCAATAATATATGCATCAGAATCGGCCGTTAGATCATAGTACTCCTTCACAGTGTCTAGGGCCTTCTCCAGTGCCGAATGGAAGGGCTGATAATGCGCTTCCGTTAGGCACCGGCTCCAGACAGCGTGCAATGCCTCTAGAGCTGGAAGCGCAATATGAAGCGCCGGGAAACAGTCCGACGAGAAGGACTGCTGCGCGAGGTCTGGAACCTGAGCAGATGTCAGCTAAAAATGGCAAAGCAACAAGTATAGCGCCTTACCTGAAGCAATTCCAAAAACTTCCGTACCCGCAACCACTCCGCATCAGAGAGACAGAGGTGATGAAGCTTTGCGGACTTCGCCGCATTGGCTTCCACCCAGATAATCTCCTGCACGAACTGGTCCACAGCCTGTAGTTGGCATAAGAATAGGATTATGATAATAGTGTAACGAGGCGCACCTTTCGAAGGTTCACAGCGAGATGCAACATCAAATTTGTTGATGACCAGTGGACGGGCATATCAAGGGTCAGCATCCTTGGTTGCGGCAAGGCCTTGGATGATGCCTGCACACCAGGCGTCGCATCTTCCGCGCCGTCGGCAGCCTGAGAAGCTCCACCCGGTGCTGCAGCTCCATCTTCAGCATGAGGGGCTTGTATCTTAAGAAACATGTCTTTCCACTTGCTGGACGATCGAACCTGTCACACACTGTGAGCATGACTAGTACCGGTAGCCCAGCGCACAGATCACGGGTAGGGGTACGCGCGCATACTATTATGTGTTGTGCTCAGTACACGCGACCTGGCGACTCTCGAGAACGCGTCGTCGGTTGCGCTTTCCAAAACGCGACCCGCACGTACACGCGTACCCGTACCTGACCTGTCGACGCAGGCTCGCATACGGGTGTGGTACGGGTACGCAGCGGGACAACGTATGGCACGATGACTTGAAATGTGGATGACGGACTTGCCTTCACTGCAATCGACCGTACGATACCCACTTTGTCTCGGTCTGTAGGGACATGTGCTTCTGGGTTCATAGGGTCGTAGTGCTTTGCAGGGCTGTACGTCTTGATTAACGATTGAGTTGCCAGATTAATAACATGTGCGAGGCAACTGAATGCCTTCAGTAGCGGCCCGGGTAGTCGTTGAGATGTATGAATACATACCGGATACGCCATTTTTGCGGATCGTAGTCTCGCCCGCAAGCCTGCTTAATCAAGCACGCCAACTCAGCCATCATGGTATCATTGTTTGATGCATTGTCTGCCGTCATGTGTCCGAACTGGTGTATGTACTAAATGCTAAATGGAACACAATAACTGGAGTGATAGACACACCTTGTGAACGATCCCAACTCGATACAGAATCTTGAAAAGGGCTTGCCCGAGGCGCTTACCTGTATGTGAGGAATTGAGTCTCACGAATCCTAGGATGTCCGACTGGAGCTCCCAGCAATTTGGCGCAGTTTCCTCAATCCAATGGCCTGTAACCACCATGTACGAGTCATGCGAGACATCTGACTTCCAGCAGTCTTCAGTGCTGCTGACCTCCCCTAGAACGTTTGGGCCCTGGAGCGAATGAGATGACCAAAGAGCTGAGGTATGCGAATCCATACTCACGTTCAAGCGCTTCTTCAACTGGGCAAGATGATCACGGAAGAGATCAATGATCTCCTTCCTCGTAGATTTCTTACCTGGTATCTTGATACCCGTCTTCGTCCGATTTGCAATGTTGATCATCCGCTTGAACTTCGGGTGTTTGAACGCTTGAATAGGCTGCATTATTGGAGTTATCAGAAACTAATTTCAATGCAGGATGAGCAGGGCATACCTGATTGGTGGCGACAAGCCATTCTATGGCTGCTTGCTTGAAGTCTTCAGATGTGTAGCTGACCTCTATATAGTCGGAGTTCCTTGGTAGCTCAGTAACGTGTCAGTCAAGGGAGCTTTGGTTAAGGCAAGACTTCACTTGCTGAGCGCGAGCATCGACATCCTTCTGGAGCATAGACGGGAACTGGTTTTCTTCGGCCCATTTCCTGTACTTGCTCTGTTCCGGTTAATATGACAATGTGCTTTTCAGGTAATGAACATACCTCATGCTCCTTCGCAAGGTGCCGGCGGGCAGTCGTGAGATCAGACACATAGGTGATCTTCGGAGCGTTGGATTTGCTATGACATCTCAGTCAGTGGGAATGTAGCATGTTGTCAATGATGCTCATCACTTACCTGCAGAGCGTACAATCGTGCAATCGCCGCTTCTTCCCATGCTGGATTTCTGTACGCGCATTGTTAAAGAACCCACAGACGTCATCGCCACCACTAGCCCGCTTCTTCTCCTTAGGGACTGTCTCGTCGATTGCAGTAAGATCCTTGTCTTTGAGGAACCCGTCAGCGTCGACCTCCTCAGGGTTCGGGAGTATGCTTGACCCTGCAGGCCCTGGCCCTGATGAAGAATGAAGGACTGTTAAGTTTGGACCGCGTGACAAAGTTAAATATACCTTCAGCGTTATTGGGTGGTTTACTAGCCCCGGTCTTCTTTTTTGCCTTTTTGGACGTTCCCTGAGGAGTGTGAGGCATATTCTTCATCTTTTTGGCAGACAGGTTGCTTGAGGTGCCGCCATCTTCATTGCCAGAACTTAATACTTCAATGTCTGAAGTCTCGTCCTGGGCTTTCCTTTTCTGCCTGTTGATGAAACCTGCACCGTCCTTGTGGTTCACGTTGAGGCAGAAATTATCATCTGCCAGCTTGAATGTGAGCTTTGTCTTGCGTGCAGGGCGGCGGCTGACAGTGACTTCATTTTCGGAGGCATTGCTGTCGGAATCAAGTATGGCAGCCATGGGGGTGAAAGGCGAAAAAAGTCCTTTGTACCAGTTTGGTTATCATGCTACCCTTTCCCAGGGACAGGTCTGGTGTTCAAGCTTCATATAGGCTAAAGCACTTATGCACTGGAAAACAAACATTCATTGTATCACACACAACCTGAGATCTACGAACAAAGTAGTTATAACAGAAACACAGACTACACGCGGAGTTGGGCGCTGCTGCTTCTCCAGCGCTTGAGAGTAATATTAACAATGTTTGCCTAATTGGGACATCCATGACTGGGCTTATGGGCCCGGGCTTGGGCTTTTCCATACTTAGGCCCGAGCCTGAGCCCACAGATGATTGTGGGCTTGGGCCCGGGCCGGGCCAGGCTGGGTATCTGGGCTTGAGGATTCCCAGGATAGTCCAAAGATGTGTGGCAACTTATTAGACAGCTATTCTAGTGATTGGTCGGCTATGCCTTGGGTTATTGCATGAGTTATATATTTACCTTTCTCTCATTTATAATAGGAACATCAATGAGCAAGCTATTGCACCTTATCAAAGCTGGCGGGTTTGGCATATTCAACTCAATAAGAATGCTAAAGGAAAGGAGCTGAGCTGGAGACCTTCAGTGGGCCGCAGAGTATGCATCCTCATGGCTGGCAGATGCAACTGTGGGATCTGTTCACTCATGGTGGATTTTTCACCTGGATTTGTCATGATGCCACTGACACTGGTACTTGGATGGCTATAAGGGTGGGAGGGAAAATGTGGACATTATTGGATGTTTCGCAGCAGGGCATTCGATCTCAAGACCATCTTGTGGATCAGTTCTACCATGCTACAGATCTGTTTAGAGGCACTCCAAAGCGACCTGTGCCTCATAAGGCCATCACTGTTGGTTTGCAATGTGGTGATATTCTGTGAGCTTTAATTCAATCTTATTCCTGTTCTTTATAAATCTATTAATGTGCCTGGTGCTTAGTATACAGCCACCCAATATTATGCACTGTGTTACACCCCAGGCAAGAGTATCGCAACAGGGGGCCATTTTTACATGTATTCTTCTATGCATCTTACCGAATTTGGCTGTCAGGTGGACCATTGCAAGGATGGATGGACTACTAATCAGGTTCATCCTGGTGCTTTCCATCTCATTGTCCCTATGGCCCTGGCTCTTCCCAACTTTTCAGACAAGCCTATGCTTAAAATCCCTTTTCTGGGTTTAGCTTGCCTTATCCTGGACAGAGATGTCTATGAGCCAAGCCTCTATGGTGTTGGTACTGCTTGATATTATCCTCAAGATATTCAACATTGGGAGGAGTTGGAAGAGATGAACTAGGTGAAGAAGATCATCAAGGCTGTACTGCATGCTAATGGTATTCCTCTGTCTCACGTCAACATTCTTCTGCAGTCACTGGGATGTGATTACAAAGGTCCCAGTGATGAGCAGGTGGACTTGACCTGTCTTCGAGATTGGCATACTATCAGTGTCAATGAACATTATCATCAAGTTTTGAAGGAAGTTGTGTGGTTTGAGCAGTAGAAGGTCTCTGCCGCAGCAGCCTCTGGGGCTGGTAAAGTCGCTCTTGAGGGAGGCTATCCAGCTTGGGAAGCAGTCTGTTCTTGGAAGGAGATCTGACAAGTAGTAGTGTGCTTTTTCCATCCTTCAGTCTAATTGTTACTTAGGTACGTTGTAAATGTATTTTGCCTGCACTTTGTGATTTTTGCCATTTTTGTACTCTGTCCTGTATCCTGTTGTCTGTTACTGTTGGAGTCATTGTGTTATATTTGCTGGAGTTGATTGTGTATCAGTAAGTTCATAGTTGATTCTATATGGTATTGACTTTGAAGTCACCGTGGCTGGTGGCTGCCAATGTCGAGCACCTATTATATATTTTGTAATTAACGTTGTAGCCACCGCAGCCCATAGCGACTGAGGTCAACTGCCTATTAGAGCTTTAATCACAGCTGCTTACCATGTGAAATATTCTTCGAGTTGATGCTGTTCCCACGGTAGGTTTCCTCCTCTGAGTCGTGGATATGGCCTGGCATATTACAGTGATATGCAATATTTATGCGGGGATGCATTTTTATTTATTTCCTGTATTCAACTGTCCATCACCGCATGTTATATCATTAAGGTCTGAGGCTTGTGGATGCCTTTGTAGTCGATCTAATGACTTTGTAGCCACCACTGTTGTCTTCCTATTATAGAATTTTGTGGTCAGTCCAAGATGGTGTAGAGACTGAAGCCACTGCAATTGATAGCCAGTGAAGTCGTTCACCTCTTGGAGTCACGTACAATCCGTGAACATACATTGAACATTTTATACTGCGATGACCGAGATACATGGAACATCAGACGTCATATATGAACCATATTTGCCATACATACATGATATTTGATATATTTATACAGTCAGATTATTACATAGGGTGGCGCGCAGCACCCAGCCTATACAATTGATCATTAGCAATCACAATCGCATGAACGTGGATATAAGTATTTAGGAACAACTTACTTTGAGATCTGCCGTGTGATAACATTTGCTGCAAATTGTGTTACCTCGGATGTTCCTTGCAAATGGAGTCTATGAATTCATGAATGCGCTTCAAGACCCAAGTCCCCATTGTCTGCAACTCGAGACTGCTCTTGACACCAGTCACCTCTAGAAATGGAGCAAGGTGGGATAGGGTTGGGGTTGAGTGAACCAAGGAAATGATGGACTGAGTCATCACACCTTTCCTCGTGGGGTACCATAGCTGGTATGAGTACATATGCCTGAGTCATTATCAGTTAATATCTGGTCACAATAATGATTGTATCATGTACATGATTGACAATCTCCACCAGTTCATATCGTGCATCCTGATTCTTCTTTGTATGTTGCTTTCCAGATTGGCTTCCACTGCCAGTTTTACTAGCCACCGATTTCGCAGACTGTGATCTTTTGCACACGATTAAGTGTCTTCGGTACCGACGAGATAGGAGCCATGCGAGGTATTGGCAAATGGGTTGGCTAGTTTTAAAGTCTGCTAATTCCTTTCCAAAATGTGGACAGACCTTTGTGTTAGGTTTTGGTTGTATTGGATGCAGAGCCACTGGGACAAATAGGTACAAACAGCTTGACTATGTACTGAGCCACTGTATTTCCTTTGTTCCTTAGTCCGTGCAATTGACCTTGCCTTCGGTTTGTGTATGTGTCTGGGTCTGGTGTGCTTATGGCCACCCATCTTATGCTTCCCTGTTCCAACTGCTGCTAACAGGTTATGAGCCCAACAAGCTCTGAGCCTCATTTTCACTGGTGCTGCATCATCCACTCTACATCTGCGCAATCCACCCCATTCCACTTGCCATCCATCCCTAGAATCATTCTCTGCCAACAATACACACCCTCACTATCAGGCTCCATCCAATTTCATCAACATTCATCCATCTGTTGCTCTTTGGAGTGGCTCTCTGTGGCTCAGCCATGGCCGCTTTGTCGCATTTCCCAATTAGGAAGGTGCCCCTTTTTCGCTGCTCCCCTTGGCTCTCTGCCTTCAGCAGTTGGATTTGGGTTGGGTTAGAGGACTGGAAAGGTGGTTGGGGAATAGGAGAGAAGACTCTGGGTTTGGGGCAGTTCTTATGTTGGAAGGATCTCTGGGAAAGAGGAGTTGTGAAGTCTATGGGTCATAGGGGAGTTCTTCAAGCCTGTTGTCTTGATTTTCCCACTCTTTCTGGATCATTGGGTTTCCTGCAACTCTTTCTCTCTCTGCCATGTCCCTGCTGGATTGTTTGAGGTCTTTGGTTAGGTGGGAGTTGTTGATGCCTTTTTTTTTGCTATTATTGGAGGGGTATGTGAAGGATGCCTGTTTGTGGTTTTAGGTGGGAGCCGGTTTCTTCTGCATCCTCACAAGGTGGGAGTGTTAGGTTTTGGTTGTATTGGATGCAGAGCCACTGGGACAAATAGGTACAAACAGCTTGACTATGTACTGAGCCACTGTATTTCCTTTGTTCCTTAGTCCGTGCAATTGACCTTGCCTTCGGTTTGTGTATGTGTCTGGGTCTGGTGTGCTTATGGCCACCCATCTTATGCTTCCCTGTTCCAACTGCTGCTAACACTTTGAATGTGCAGTTAGCATTGGGACATGTTATATAGATTGTACCACGTACCTTTTCCATATATAACTCCCAATCCTCTGCCTGCTGACTGGCTTGTCCATATCCAAGTAAACCTTGGCCAAGGTGAGGATTTTCTCCTGTTGGATTAATCTGTAATTTGCCACTATGAGAGAGGACTTCATGGACACTTACTTTGAAAATGGCCTCTTGGTTTTCATTGAGACCAAGGATACCGAGGTAGTACTTTCTGTCCCTCCGAGATTGGCAGTCTTTGCCTTGCATCGAGTTCAAACTGGGGTCAGACATTTTTAGAGGTATTGTTTGTCAGATGCATCTGGCTTCCAGCTGGATGACTTGTGATTTACAAATGAAGCTGGATAGAAATGAATCAGATTGCGTGATGGATGTTGCAGCTCAAGTCACAAGTTGAAAACAATCGCACTTTACAGGTGTACACAGGTCATATGACTTATGCCACAAGTGCATTTGCTGAGTTGCACGCAGACTGATGCTTCCGGTTCCAGCATTATAGCGATTATATACATGATTGAATATTGATGATTGCAATTAGATACATGCCTTCTCTGTATTTCATAATCATTTTGAGGCAATGTCAACTTGGTAGATGCCATTATATTATATATTTTGTAGTGGGTCTGATGCGGTAGTGACTTCGTACTTGGTCGCGTTCGAACCACTCCAGTCATACACCTATTATAGATTTTGTAATAGATCCGATGCCATAGTTGTTTTGTAGTTGCCATGGCACGTAGCCACAGAGGTCGACTGGTTGTCACAGCTTCGTCTTGGATTGCTTACTGTGTGAAAATTTTCAAATGTTAGTCCCGTTCGCATGGTGCTTTTCTTTACCGGACTTGCCTCGGTTTTGTTTATTGTTTTTGGTGTCTTGTTTGGGTACTGCCATACACAGAATCAGGATTTTTGCTTGATTGGACAATCTGTACTTTGAGCTTGCTTAATCCCGCCCTTGAGACCTGGTGAGGTGTCCGTGACATTGGACAGCGCGACATCAACAGCTAGTCCGCTGCTACCTCATACTGACCTTCCTGCAGACCTTCTCATGCCATTGTGGATGGATCATGGCTGCAGGTTGCTTGAGGGACTCCCTTTTGGTGAATTATGGAAGACTCCTATTTGTCATTACGTCAAGTTTCTACTCTGCTCTGTTCTAGCTACGTTGAGTCCAGGCTACCCTCTCTGGCTGGGCTCTCGCTCATCGATGATGGTGAATTCTCCTGTGAGCCTCAAGGTCACTCCTGACAGATCTTTCCTTCCCTGTACATATCCCTTGACATGCCCAGTAAACATTTGTAGAGAGGAATGATGTTGGCCGCCATAAGGACAGACCCCTGTGTGCAGCTGCCCATTAGTGAAGTCCATGATGGTGGGGGAAGGCACTGACTGCGGGTTGTCGCTTGATTGTCTCAAGATGCTGTGTCTTGTGTCACACAAAATGAAGGACTGTCCAATGATGTATTCCAGCTCACCCATGTCAGATTCTCGTGGATAGCACCTGTGCGACACTGGTCTGCGGGCAATGCCTGAGTTGAAATCACTGTCAGATCAGCTTCGGCAGGGCATAGGAAAGTGTGTACCTCACCTGCGTGGTCCTCGGTTTCAATATTCTTGACCTGAGAGCTGTACTGGAACGTGTCTGCAGTGCTCACGCTCTGCACTTCCGCTTCACTACTGGAAGGGCTCATGCTAGCGGTGTCATATTCAGAGGTGTCTGGGGCCTCTTTGCTTGAGTGATGCCCAAACGCGCGCTGTGCCCAATGATGTGGCTGAAACAGAATTTCAGTTCAGGGACGGCGAGTGGTGTAGCCCGGAATTGGAAGGCGTCGAACCTTGTTTCACTGATATCTGCTTCAAAGCTACCACGCCTGGGTCCCTTTGTCATGGGTGCTGAAGACATTGAGCTGTGACGTTTCTGTCCTCTGCTCAACATGATAGTGGGCTAGACTCAAAAAGATGTTGCTTAACGACAAGCTTGTGCTTTTATATAGCAGCACAGTCTTTGCCAGATCGCCAGTGGAGACCTGGAGCAATGGAATACAATGCTTGATCATCCTTACGGTAATGCCACTAGAGCAACTTGAGCGATCACCAATTGTTCCCAGCTGCTGAGACCCAAGCCTCGTTTATCCCCAACAGTGAGAGTACTGGTTGTGATGGTACCAGAGCCATTCTTTCAAGACAATCATGACCGCAACACGTCTGGTCTCACGCTGAAGGGAAGCCAAGGCTCTGATGTCTGTTTCACTAGGTGGTGTACCAGTCATTGTTTCTGGACCAAGCACTTGGGTCGGCAGGACATACTGTACTGCATTGTACTGAAGTAACGTGATCAGAAATGTTACATGCTGGATGGGACCCTGCCAAAGCAACGGGCTGTTGTTGAGCGTTACACAAGCTGAAAGGTAGTACCCGGCCTACAAAAATTTGTGGTACTTGAGGGCTCCGAAGAGACATAACAAACATCCACCCAAGAAACAAAGGCCCCGTTACACATTACCAAGCGGCTTTTGGCAACACAACGTACCCTGCATTATGTGTTATGTTACTTCAGGACAATACAGCACAGTCATCGAAGCACCTAATGGTAAGGCATCTCTTAGATGGTCAGTGCAGCACCTTCAGCCTAAAGATCGGTGGGGTACAATGCATTGGTGCTCAGGACATCTAAGGTTGGGACGGACACACGACACCTCCCTTCCATTGTTAGCATCACCATTGTAGTGGGTGAGCTGTCTTTCTGGTGAGTGAGTGACCATGGCTGGAAGAAGGGATAATTGGGGGCATGGTATGTGCAGCGATCCTGAATAGTAGTGGCACTAGTGACACGTAGATCATTTCTTTGTGGCTGTAGTGCCACTCGCGGAGGTCGGAACTTGATCCGAGGCAGCATGTGTTGAACACTGCATTGAAGGCTAAGTCGGTCCAGTATGGAGCATAGTTCCTTTTCAGTCCCACCTCAGGCTTTCACCGGTCGTGGAAAGTTCCATGCCTTCACTGGGTTATTCCATATCCCTCCACTGCTTGATGCTATATGCCCATTGTCTACCGGTCCTATTTTGGCAGACTCCATTGTCCTGAATTTGATATCTCGTATTGTCTCAAGTCCGGCATCTTGCATTGCTTTCACCTTCTCGATTCACGATTCTTCATTAATTCGTGTGTGACGGACAGTCACCAAATACGACGTGACAATTGCCTGATTGCATATAAATCGCGGTATCCTGAACTGGTCACTGATCCACGCCATTTCTTCAGTCTCCCTGGTGTGTACAGGACTTTCCTCACTTTCCTCGCATGCTCAAGCATTGACTGTCTGGTATTGTAGCGCAACAATGGATTTCCTCTTTTGTGGAGAGGAGCTCGTACAAATGGCCCTCAACCCGGAGTCTCATCCGAGCCATGTGGAATTTTGTCATTACCAGGCAATCCATAGTCCTGAGATGGGCTCCACCCCTGTCAACGCCTTGCCTCCGGAGATACTGTACAGGATTTTCCGAGAGACGCGCGGCAACAGCGACCCTGCTATGTGATCCATAACTACACATCCATTTCCCCTCACTCTTGCTGCTGTCTCCACCTGTTGGAGACAGTTAGCTGTCTCCATGCCTGAGTTCTGGATGGACATCACATTCTTAATGAATGGATCCATGTGCCATCCAAAGCTCTACCTGGAAAGGTCTGTGCCAGCGAAGATTGATGTTCTCATCGAATACTACGTCTCCTCCAGTAACGAGTTCAAGATCGCTCTTAATCTTCTTCTTCCTCATCTTGAGCGCTGCCACAGTATCAAGATCTGGGGATGCTTCGAGGACCTAGAGGAGTTCATGTCGGAATTTCAGCATCTGTGAGCACCTGCATTGGAGAGTTTTGATGTTCACAATTGGAGCCAGACATTTGATGCCTCTAGCATTGAAGCTGGCCACGAGCCAGTATTCACAGTGCTAGCAGCAGGCAGAACAGGGAAGCATAAGATGGGTGGCCATAAGCACTCCAGACCCAGACACATACACAATCCAAAGGCAAGGTCAATTGCATGGACTAAGGAACAAAGGAAATACAGTGGCTCAGTACATAGTCAAGCTGTTTGTACCTATTTGTCCCAGTGGCTCTGCATCCGATACAACCAAAACCTAACACACAGTGGGCGCTCCACACCTGACCAGATTAGTAGTATGGGACATTAATGCCCTGAGGTGCACACTGCCCCTGGATGTATGAGTCAAGGGGCATACCTATGGAAGTGCTGATGGGTGTTTGCGGGAAGACATTATGTCTGGTTCACATGGTATGGCAACAACTTTGTGTTTTTGGGTCTGGCTGACAGTGCATCTCAATATGTCCAGAAATACTGGCATACAATGTGCACAAATTGTTGCATTTTAATGGCACACTACTCTACACACTAGGGAGAGCCTTCTTGACCCATCAACACTGGTGGCGGTAGCTGGGCTAATGCTCCGGGAGGGGAATGGGTGAAAAGCGGTAGCAAATGATGGAGCAGTCGGATTCTCCCGCACTCTTATGTAAAGCTGTGGCCATATATGGGGTGAACACAGCCCCCAAAGGGTGTAGCACTCCCGGTAGTATATCCATGGGAAAATGCAAAAAACTGTTTTGGAGCCAACAGTCAAAAACACTTTTTGGTAGCTATAAATAGCTTTGATGCTCCTGACATTGCCATCACAGGTCCCACTCACTCACTCTCTGTGGTTCCCATGTAACCAGTGTGGGAAACCATGTGTGAAAGTGGAAAGAGTACCTGAACATGATTCTAATGGGCACCCTATCATATTCTTCCATTTATGGCCTATAAATCAGCTACAAAGCTATTACAAGCCCCATATCAGCATTACAAAGCAGTCACAAGGCTATTACAAGCCCCAGGTGAGGGCTACAAATCCACTACAAAGGTGCTACAAGGCTACTACAAGCCCTGGTTCAGTGCTACAAATCCACTACAAGGGAACTACAAGCCTATTACAAACCCTGTTTCATGTTACAAATCTACTATAAGCCTCTACAAGGCCCCTCACAAGCCCTTTGCATTACAAGCTTGTCAACCTTAGCAGGGGTTTTAAAGCAAGGCCTGGCATGCTAATACTGGCTATTTGTTAACAAAAAGAGGTGCCCACTAGTGGTAAAGGAATGTTGTCCCAACAACACATCCAGCCTATGCCTGTAGCTCTTCGTATGTGCCGTCGCCATCAACCTGGTCCTACAGTCAGTCAGTGGCGAGCAGTTCGGATACTTTTATCAAGCTCGTTGTGGGCAACATCCATTTTTTAGGACTTGTGCTCGACAAGCTTGACCGTGCTGGAATGGTCACACAAAGCGAACCTGGCACGTTGGGTGGATGAAATCCTCACGATATGCAAAGACCGCTACAATCGACAGCACAGGTTTCTCGACCTCGTTGAAGGCTTCTCGCGCCCGCAGTCACCAGTTACGCACCGGTCAGGTGCCGCTCAATGGTTATCACGCAAGCTTGAGTTGCCCAACTGCCCTGATTGTACTGGAACCCTGGAAGACATCCACCAATTTCCAGCCTATGTGATAGTTCGCCATGCTTTGAGGAAGAGGCTTCAACATGCCGCGACCGGCTTATCAGCATTACTCCATTACTCTCCCACCATGTCAAGCTGTTGTTACTTTATGTCCATGGGACTGGGTGATTTGCTGACACAGTGACAGCTACAGTGAGATTTGAGACCCGCATGAACCTAGATGATCATTCGTCTTGCAGGCCCAATGGTGAATAGCCTTAAAATACCCCAATATTCACTGCCTACTGCAGTCACTCAAGAACTACATCTATATCAGGGATGCCCGACCAGGAGGAAATGCGTAAACTCCCGGCTTCACCTTCTTTGGGGCGAGAGCCTACAAGCTTTCATAGAGGAGTTCAGTAGCTTTTTTCTCTACCAGGTTCTGTTGATGTGCTGTGCCGAGATTCCCATCACTGTCCTCCTTTCATTCTCTTGGACCATCATCTCACTCAGTCACCACTGTTTGTTTCTAATCATGGTCTCCCGCGTGGTCCACGCCTCAGCCGATCACAAAGGGAAATTTCACATTTTTTGTCTTACCAATTGCTTAACTGTGCAGCAGCTTGTACATTCCTGTATGGTACAGCCCAGCATCAGGGCAACCCTCTCAGGACCCTAATCAAATATAAAAGAAATAAACCTGTTTTCGAGGAGGTCTGGATCAACGGGTGCAATCCAATGGGTGAAGGCAACACTTGTAACAATGTTCAGCTTGACCTGTACCGCAAAAGTGAGGGATCCATATATGAGAGAAGCAGGCTGTGATATTGCAAGTGACAGAGTATGCTACGGGACTATACACCCTTTGCAACCTGCCCTCTGCCTTCCACACTGTCTACTATGCCCTGAGCTCTCCAAGTCCTGCAGATAACAGCCCGTAGGTGGCATATGAGGGACTGATATACTTCATCTACATTTTGGCCAGTCCTGGCAGAGCAGAGTCCGAGCACAAAGCAACCCCTCTTCTCAGGACACTTCATGTTCATAATTTCTGTCTGCCTGGTTGGCCACCAGCACCACACTCGGCTTCTGCAGTTTGGCCTGTAGAAGTGCCTGCCAAAAGACATCTATCCGCTCAAAGCATCTGCATGATGTAATTGAATCCATCAAGACAAATCCTTGTCCCTCTCTGAGCAGCAGGTTATGAGGTGCATGCTGGAAATAGGCAAGACATAATGCTTACTTGATAAATGGACCCAGGAGTGTCAAATCTTCATCTTGTTAGGTTTGGTTGTATTGGATGCAGAGCCACTGGGACAAATAGGTACAAACAGCTTGACTATGTACTGAGCCACTGTATTTCCTTTGTTCCTTAGTCCGTGCAATTGACCTTGCCTTCGGTTTGTGTATGTGTCTGGGCCTGGTGTGCTTATGGCCACCCATCTTATGCTTCCCTGTTCTGCCTGCTGCTAACACATCTGCATAGTTTTTTAGCACACATTGGGAACAAAAGCATGTATGCTGATTAATCAACATACCCTGACCAGCGGTGTCTATTATTTCAAGCATGCATACCTGGCCATTGACTACACATTGCTTCTTGTAGATATCATGTATAGTTGGATCATAGTCCTGATGCTGCCTTTAGTTCCATGCATCGTCCAAGTGCTGAACTAAAATACACCTCTAAAGATTTGGACATACAGTCCAGAGACACAATTCTATGAACCTCACATGACAAACAATGCACCGACAAATTGTCCCAATGTGAAGTTGGCCAAGTCAGACTCGCCGACACACTTACCTGTAAGGTCAGAGCGCTCTTGCCCACACCACCGTCACCTAAGACCTTCACTTTCCAGCTGTTCATATGGACAATCTGTCGACAGAGGAACGCAAATGCGACAAATGTATGTGTCAATTTATAAACACAGACCTACAAAGTTCATCGCAACAAGTATAGCATCTGATCACACCAGTCTAATGTACTAGACTCGATAGCAGCCCCTAGTGCTTAGCGATCGCGATCGGAACTGTGACTTCTGTCACACCATTTATACATCACTGATAGAATCCGCCGAATAACTGTACAATAACTGAACGCTCTCCGTATGACAAGCCATGCAGAACAGCAAGCCATAAGATACGATCACTTAGGGCACACGTTTGATAAGCTGGTTCACTGGTTCCCATTCCAAGTACTTTGTATGCTACTGTAACCCCGAGTAAACTGCCGATCGCTCACAGCTTGTTTGATTTTGTGATGGCTGATTGGACAAGCGATAACTACCCCTGAGCAACTCATGACTGGTATGACCCGGAGAAGGTCGAAGCCTCTAATATACCAATAGAAGGTGTTATGAATCCCAGATAAGAAGTAGAGTTTGCGCGCAAAG